GGAAGGAGGCGTCAACCGAATCGAGGTACAGTCACAGAATTTGTCTTGAGGGACTAAGGAAAACGACGAAAGAACTCAGTGAGTATACCCGGTATCCCGACCGAGATTCGAATCAAGCACTTTCTCAATATGAGTTTCCGCTACGCCTACTCTGTCAGTCGGAAAATATTTTAATAGTTTGGAAGAGATGTCATATGCATAACCATTACGGGAAAGTGCCACATGAATGACACATTCTAACAACCACAACCCCATCTTTGAGACACTGCAGCAACACATCGCAGTCAGATGGCAGCACTACAGAGCTAGAAACATACAGTACTTCATTTCGTGCCGTGTATACACAGGCTTCATTGCAGTGACTTCGATACTGAAGTATTCTGTTTATTGCTAGTGGGGTGGGACTAAGTCCCTTGTACTGCGGCCACTTCTGGCCTATTGTACCAGATACTGAAGTAAGTAAAGAATGTTATTTGTCGTATAGTTAATATTCGTATATATTAAATCGTACGCAACACACAATTTCCACATTTCACCGGCACAAACATTTTAATAAGAACGCAAGTTAAGGCATTATCAAAAGTATTCAGAAGGCAACTCGAAGTTCATCCATAAATATGCATTTAAGACACCACTTCCAATAAAAGCAACACATTCTTGACTATGTTATTATGAAGAAGTCTTNGGGGGTGATACGTTCCTCCGAAACGTCGGTTAACACCACATATACACGGTGCCAAATCCCAGAAGACTGCTTTCTTCATAGTCACCGCCGTGAAAGCCTCAAATCTTACATATGTTATTATAATTTTGTATAGTTTTAAGGGCTTTAGTATGTACTATTTAAACGTAACAAGAAATTAACTATAAAGATGGAAAATGCAACAACTTGCGCCGAAAATTATAGTGTATTGTAAACCTGACGATGAGTGCATATAGCCGAAACATGCAGGTCTTGTGAATAACATGGTATGTGGAATTGTGGGTGTTGTTTGTTTCACTGGTGTCTTGTGTGAAATTGCAATATATACAGTTTATTAGAGGTATCCTGAACTTTGTCAGGGTTTCCTTCAGTGCATCCAACTGGAATAGTGCCTAAAATCAGGCCACGACCGCTTCCTTCCACATGCTTTTCAGATTACGATTCACTAATCATTTGATGCCGTATAGAATGAGCTGCTGACAGCGTCATTAAATGAACCACCATTGCTAAACTAAGAGATCCGTAATAGCTCAGTTGGTATAGTGACGGGTTTCGGGCTGGGCGGCCGGGATTCGATTTCCGGCAGAGGTAAGGGATTTATGTCCTCCACACAGTGTCCAAAAGGGCTCTGGGGCCCACCTAACCTCCTATCCAATGGGTACCATTGGATCTTTCTCCGGGAACTAAATCGCCCGGGCTGTGAAGGTGACCAATCAGCGCCATCCATTGCCGAGTTCCAGAATGGTGGAGCTATACGACCAACCCCCATTACGTACACGGACAAATACACTTTTACTGAATTACTGAACTGGGACGATTTAGTCCTGGTGGTACCAATGTACGTATGATAAGACGTAGTTAATGGTTGTGTATGTGTTTTCTCATGCTATAGTAGTTCTCAGATACTTACACGTGTGATGGCTCTGTGTTAGAAACTGTTGCCCTTTGAAGGACAATGATATAATTTCTTGCATTGCTGCAACGGGAGGATGGGACTAAATATTCGGATGCAATGATTCCCACACTGAATTTCAACTCGTTAGCAGTACTGGCGAAGAAAACGGAGTGCGTCGCAAGGTTTGACTACTTGCCCACTATAATTCGAATTCTACTCTTGACACTGATGCCTGTATTTTTTTTTCTGGTTTGGTTATCCTTCCAAAGCATCCTATTAAACGTCCAAGGAATATATTATCTCGTAATTAATTCTGAATGGGAATAGGCCTACAGACCTAATTCTTGATAGCTATGTAAAACAATTGCAGGAAAGACGGGACACGAACTGTCGTCACTCTTCTAAACTCCCTGGTCCTGAATATGACCTTTTGACAACTTTACTCTGTTCACTGTCCCCGTTGGTTTGGAACGGACATCAACAGTACCTAACATCATTGAGTGGGATGTTATTACATTAAGTCGTAGATTGATTATTATAACCTTTTTCTTTGACTGAATATAGTATATATAGGTTTCTCGATATTATATATCGATATATTAAAGATAAGCAGCGACACACACAGAGAGAGCCTACACAGAACAAATACCTGAACAGCGATAAAACAAGAAGTGGCCGCTGCAGCACTATAGACATAGGGCGTTTACCCCGAGAAAATTTTAATTTTAAAAAATTTGGAAAAAGAAAAAGAACAGTAAATTTATAGACATTTTAATTTGAATAGAAGTTTTAAAAAAGTGCCAATTTTAGGAATCAAATTTACGCGTGTAGATTAACAAAGATTTTATACATACATATAATTACAAAGACTGGTGATTTTAAATTTTAAACTACGGGCAGTGTAGCAGCTACGTAAGAATACACACCTGATGATGGCCATTTAGGGCCGAAACATGTAGTGCGGAGGAAGGGAAGAAGAAAGAACTACTACAAATGTTGCACTTAAGACGGAGTTTGTCTCGTATACATAGGTTTTTCGATTTTCGCCTTTAGTTATTTTATATCATCATCATCATCATCATCATCATCATGACTGGCAAAACAATCCTGATTTGCCCATTGGTGTCGATTAGACCATCCGGTTTCCACTTCTTTGGATTTCGCAAAAATATTTTTTTGCAGAGTGAGTTCGTCAGCCTTGCGTCCAAACCCCAACCTGGAGGACCAGGTCTCTGTATTATTCATGTCCCCCCGTTACAGAGTGGCCCAGCTATACGTACTTCTAGGCGCCCGGTTCCCTTTTCGTCGCTTCCTGCGCCTCGCAGTGGAGGCGTTCTAAACAGCCACCACACAGAGAAGTTGTTTCATAACGTGTTTATTATACAAGGGAGAGTCAGTAAATAGGCCACGAATGGATATAGAACATAAAACATGTGACATTGCAAAGTGGAAAAAAAAATCATTTATTTCTCGACCCTCCACCAAGACTGGTGAGTACGGTGGGTGGGGTACAACTGCCATCTTGTTTTTAGCCAAAAATCCCTGCACAATATAAGCCGTATGCGGGCGAGCGTTGTCATGGCGGAGTACCCAGTCGTTCGTGCGCCACTTCTCTGGACGTTTTCTCCTCATGTCCTCCCTCAAACGCCTTAGAACATCGCGATAGAACTCTTTATTGACTGTCTGACCAGGAGGGACGAACTCCTTATGAACAATCCCGTCAGTATCAAAAAACAGATCAACATGGACTTAATGTTGCTCTTGACTTGTCGAGCTTTTATTGTCCGAGGTGAAGAAGGGCTCTTCCATTGCGACGATTGCTACTTACTTTCAGGGTCATAGCCATAAACACAACTTTCGTCACAAGTGACAACCTTCGAAAGAAAGTTTGGATCCTCTTGAAGCTACGGTTGAAGTTTCCTGCAGACTTCCAAGCGATGCTGCTTCTGTTCATTTTGCAGCACTCATGGCACAAACTTCGCCGCAATCCTCCTCATGTTCAGTGCCTCTGACAAAATTCGTTGACATGTACCATAACTTAGTCCCAAGGTGTTACAGAGGTCTTGGATGGTCAATCTACGATCTTGCAGAATTAGATCCCTAACTTTCGCGACATTTTCTGGTGTGGTGCCAGTTGACGGCCGTCCCGAACGATTGTCATCATCAGTCAACGTTCGGCCATTTTTTAAACGCTTATACCAGTCGTAAGTTTGTGTCTGGCCTAAACTGTTATCACCAAAAGCTTGCTTCAACACTTGGTGCGTTTCAGCAGCGGTTTTCCCAAGTTTAAAACAAAACTTTATACAGACACGCTGCTGTCTCAGTTCAGCCATCGCAAAACCCCAAACTCACGGAAACACAACAATGGAAATGCGTTCACCAACAATAAACCCAGCCACTCAACTTGGCGCCGCTTGGCGCACAGATTCAAGAAGGGTGTGTGGGGAAGACACCTAGCGGTATTTCGATGTACTCATAACCATTCGCGCGCAAAATTCAAATTTCGGGAACTTTTGGATTGCACCATATATATATATATATATATAAACCCATCTATTCTACTGCCGTGCACCTTGAAGAGGGAGGCAGAATATCCATCTGAAATAACTCATCATAGCCCACATCCACACGGTGCAGCGACTCAAGAGTAGTATCAATATAAACGATGAAACATCGTGAAAGCCTCAAATCAGTAAAATCTTGCGGTGTGACAACAAATATTTTCTGTCTTTCTTTCCCCCACTCTCTCTATGACTCTACAGCCTTTTGGACCTTAGCCGCTTTTTCAGTTTCTTTAGCTTATATACAGTCGGTAGGACTCCTTGGACAGGGGATCAGCCCATCGAATGGCCGCTACCTACACACAGAACAACAGAAACACAGAATAAACAGACACAGACATCCGTGCCTTGAGTGGTATTTGAACCCACGATCCCAATGTTCGAGCGGTCTAAGACAGCTCATGTCTTAGACCGTCCAGCCACTGTGATCAGCATGACAACAACTATGTCTTTATTAAAGAATGGAAACAGGCAGATTTTGCCTTGTTATGCAGAACATATTAAATTTATTTTATTACACGGCATATTTGCCGAACGGGGTGGTCTAGAGACAAGGAGGTTCCAACACAAGGGTTAACATAAGAGATGTTTATAATGGCTTTCGACCATTCCTCTAGCCAAATTCCATTATTGTTCTGTGGTTAACGTCAATAAAGACTCCCTGCCCCCCCCATTCTCTCTCTCTCTCTCTCAGCAACATATTTATGTGTCAGTATTGCAGATTTCATACACACCCATCTTAAAGCCTCAGAAGATTCATGTATTATCAGGCAGAATTTTATTTTCTTATTTTTAGAAATAAATGACATTGTAATGTGGATATTTCAACTCATTTTTGCAGGTCGATGGCCATGGGGTGGAAACAGGGCCAGATTTGGATGAAGAGATGGAGAAAGTGTTTGCAATGGCAGAAGAAGATCGTTTTGATGTGTCAAGATTTGCAGCATCTCCTGACTCCAACACAAGCAAGCGCAGCTTCAATGAAAAGGATTACAGCTGTAAGTAAAATATCTATTTTCATACATTCATCACAGTAAACATGAATAATCTTCATGTTTAACATTCTAAACCTGAAGCACAGTTCAGGTTACACTATCCTTTTAAAGAAAAGCTAAGTCTGTAGACTGGAAATTTGTAATGTAAAAGTAGAAGCAAAAACTAAGTAAAACTGTGCCTGTACCAGGCCGTGAAGGCCCATAGGGTTGTGAGACGTTGAGGGTCCCACATTATCTAGACAAATGGCTCACAGATGGCGGTAAGGTTGTCAGCCTTAAGCACCGGCCATGCTTTACTCCCCAGGAAAATTATTTAATTAATTCCTGGTACTCATTTCTGTTAGAGGCTGAGTCGACCCCAGGGCCATAGTGTGGCTAGAAGGATTAGGTAAATTGAAAAAATTCACCTCATTGGGATGCGATCCCGCCACCTTCCAGCTTGTAGCATAGTGCCTCAACCAACTACTCTACCACATTTGTACTGTAACTGGCCAAAAATGCGGAAAGCATTATCCAGAGAACTTTCTTTCTGGAGCGATAGAAGACAGTGCTCAGACATATTTTAATATATCCTTTTTGACAACAGTTAAGCAATTAAAATTTTTAAAGTAAACAGTTTATAAATGTAAATAACAAAATCGGTATAACAGTGCCGTTTGACAAGTTTCATAAAACCTGTAGCTTTTAAAATGTTTGTTCTATGAAAATAAATGTTTGTATATAGCAAACCATTATGTATACTGGAATGACATATGCGGTGATATTTATATTAGTAAATCTGAATTACAGTGCTGAAGGAAATTGTTTCAGTGAATGTTTTATATATTTACACATCCTCCAAAGAATGGTATCTCAGGCAGCAGACAAACTAAGTTACAGTTATTTTGAAGGATAGTCATGTTTTCCCTCTTAGACACTTCTTCTTATCAGTTGAATTTATAGGTAAAAACAAAAAACAAACAACGGTCATAGATCTGTAAAAGGAAACTGGACTAGAACATTTACAATTATAGATGTATCTATTTTTGTAGGAATGAGAATTATATTCTTCTCTTTGAAAGGAGAACAGAAAGGAAGCTTAGTACTGAAGAGAAGTGAACTCACTGGAGAATGTAGACAATATAGTAATTTGGCATGTAGACCCTTTGTTAGGTAACGACCGCGAAATAAGCGACTATACATACTAAGCATAAACAAGTATGTTTCCACAGCAACAATTGCACTGCAATAGAGAAACGGTGTTTTCTGTGCGGACCGTGCTGAGATGTTACAAGCAGGGCACATTAGGTTTTAGTAGTTGTGAGTTTTTGCTGTGAATAATTGGTAGCTAATGCCAGCGAAAGTTTGGGAACCCAGGGGTAGGGGAATGTCCACCATTGGAAGCCGCCACTGAGTAACGCTAGTGAAGACTGTAACAGGCTGAGAAGACATAGTTATCATACTGTAACTCCTAATTGTCACCTGGCATTTTAACACAAGAAGTAACATGATTGATTGAACGTTTGTGACAGTAGCAGGGTTTTGGGATAATGGATATTAGGCTCATGACGCGTAAGTTTGCTTCACAGTAGTCCAAAAATTCATTGGGGTGACACTGGAGAGAGAAAATGTGTCATTTACAAGCTGAAGGCCAGTCTACTGTGCCATGTGTGCAGTGTGGATTTGTTTCCCTCCCTCTAGATCAGCAGAAGGATTTGTAAAGGGCTGTCAGATGATCTTCAAGCATAGGAATGCATCTACTTCTCAGTTCAGAATAATTCTTCTTCCTCTCATCTCATATCTAAAAACATAAATATTGAAATTTATGTTACCTTAATTTTACCTGTTTGCTATTTTGTATGGGTGAAGCTTTGTTTCTCACTACAAAGAGGTTGGAGAAAATCTCACAAAGAATGTTACAAACGTATGTGACAGGTGTGGGAGCGATTAGAAGAATTTGGCACAAAATTTTGGTTGGAAAAGCTGAATGGAAGAAATCACTTGGAAAGATCTGGGCATAAATGGGAGGATCTTCAAGGCATATGGTGGGATGGTGTAGACTGGATTCATGTGTCTCAGGATGGGGTCCAGTATCAGGCTTTTGTGAACATGATGATGAACCCTTGGAGTCTCTAAAAGATGGGGGAAGCTTTTGGCCAGCTTTATGGTCATTAGCTCCTCAAGGGGAAATCTGTCCTGTAGAGTTAGTAAATTATAAGAATGAATATTCATCTTTGAATTCTGTGTGCAGGAGAATTCATTTGTGCTCAGTATGGCTAACAAAGAAGTTAGTATGGACGTGATTTGTGCTGTGTTTACAGTCCATCGCAAGAAGAGTTATCCCCATATACACGTGCCCCTTAAATCTCTTCATCCACGGTTCTCGAGAAAGAGAGGCATCACTTCTCCACGTGAGTCAGAATCAGAGAGTACAGAAGGTGGAACTTCCATTGAGGTGAGTTCTTAAATTTACTGATAACTGTGTGCTTTATTGTAACTTATAATCTTAATCCAGATTTTCTCCAGGTTAATAATACTGTGAGTTTCTTTGCAAGTGCAGACTCCTGCTGAAGAGCCAGACATTCTAAAACTCCCTGTGGATAAACATATTATAATTAAACTCTAAGTGTTGTTCTTTAAATTATTTACCTTGTTGGCAAGACATCTATGGAACTTTTCTCTGGGATAAAAGCATCATTTTACACCAAAATATGTGTTGTAATATGTTGCTAAAAGCATATCCATCCTGCTCCTTTCCCAGGAGAACATTACAAAATTGAGCCGATTACAAGACTGAATTATTTATAAATGTTATATAACATTGTTGCCACAAACTTCAATATTAATTACACTTTAACTTAATTTATTCAGTATTCTACAATACACACACATATACATATATTTTTTTAGAACAATGATTCTTGCTCCATCCACTTACAGATATTCTGAAGATTACACTGTTAACTTAATTTCCCTTAAAGCACATGTATAGAGTACAAATATTATGTTTCTGGACACTATCCATCATCTGTTTTTATTTAAAATACCACCCTATTTTTTTTAAAACACAACATTTCGGAGACCAGATTCTGTCTCCGTCTTCAGGAAAAACCTACTTGGTTTGGTCCAAAATGATAGAGCTAGTCCCTAGCCATCATCTGTTTTTATTTAAAATACCACCCTGTTTTTATTTAAAACACGACATTTTGGAGACCAGATTCTGTGTCTGTCTTCAGGAGAAACCTATCAGTTTGGTCCAAAATGATGGAGCTATTCCCTATCTCTGGATACCTGAACCAACACAAGATATTGTATACAAACCAAGCACAACACAAACCATCTGGGAGAGTTAAGACAAAACATTAAAGCATTAAAAAAACAACACATGTATGAGGCCTAGCACTGGAGTACTATCAGAAAGGAATTCATCACTGGACAGAAAAAATTCTCTGTATGGTACCATTATAGAGAACATAAATTTTTCCATTTATCTCTCCATTGAACTGAATATTGATCCTTTTCATTTATATATGCTTATTATAGTGTTCATAACCTGGATACGTGTATGACAATTAGTTTCCGAAATATAATTTTTTTATTTTGGATACCTTTCATCCAGACACACTATATTGCGCATAACATGAAGCCACTTTAGCATTTCTGACATGTATTTGTTTGACATATCACTTTAAGTTCTTTGGTGGATATAATACTTCCAAATCTGTAAGCACTAAAATATTTCCTTGTCTTTCAGGCAAGTGAGTCCAGGAAAATGTCACAGTCTGGTATTGACTCTGAAACTGGCTGGAGTCCTCAGCCCATGACACTTAGTCCCACGATTAATGAAGACAACAAACCCAGGTATTACAAAATTCAGTGTGATCAACAGAAAAAAAGGAGATAAGAAAAGAAATTACCAATGCCACTTCAGAGGCTTCTCAATTCCCAACATTCTTATAATGCATTGTAGTTCATAAAATTTACACATGTACATATATTTTTCTTTGTTGCTGAATTGGTTTCTGGTGACACATCTGGCCTGGGACACATTGAAATTTGTGTTATAGGCAGAACACATATTTAAAATCATATGTCATACCTCCTGTCCATTTTACAGTGGTTCCATACTCTTGCTTATTTCTTTAATATCTGTCCCACAAACGGCTTTATAGAGTAGGTTTTTGTTGGCTGCATTTCCTTGTAACGAAGTTCAACACACAACAAGTGTGGGCACATTCAATTTCATACACAAATCCAGAGGAAATTAAAAAAAAAATGTGTGCCATGACAGTCATGTACATGATGCCTAAAACACTTTCGTACTCTGTAACCAGCCAAGTGCTATATCAGAGATGAACCCACAACTTAAAGATCAAGGATATGATAATGTACTGCTTGGTTAAGTCTATCATGTATGGCAGGAGGCAGTGACAGATTTATGTGGAGCATGGTGGAACGATGTTTAACATGAAAGAGCTGAAGAAACTTGAACTTCCTGTCCCATAGCCACTTCACCCACCATTAATATCATATCACAGTGACAAGTCAGCATCTAACCTTCTGGGGTATGGTACAGCCACATAACACACAAAATAAAATTATTTTTAGTAAACCCTATAATTAATGTAAGCATTCAACTAAATATTGTACGTGTATATATATGTATTAAACTTTCTTGTCAGTTTTTGTCAGTTTTTTGCCACATTCCAAATAGAGAACACCCAAAGATGTTACAAAATTTATTGCCTACTCTTTCCAGCATATTTGGTAGCCATGGCTGTTAAGTTGTGTGTGAAAAGTGCAATGGAGTTCCTGGGTGTGGTGTGAGTCCTTATTTCTATTCCTCTTTTTTAATTAATGAGGATATTTTAATTCCTTAATCTTCTTCTTCATCTGCACAAAGACTGGACCTCCAGGATCCATTCTGACTGAGAGTTGGTCCGTTAATCTCACTTCTGGCCCTCTTCATCCAACCATTACTTTGAGTCTTCTGAGATAGGAAGTTTTTATGTGGGTGGTATCCAGGCTAGGCCTCAACCCCCAACTTGGGAAACAAGACCATAGTAATTGTTTCATTCTTACTTAGAAGCCTTGTGGGCTACCATATCAGTCTTGAGGGTCATGAGACCCTACCCCAACATTGCTCTCTGGTGCAATCTGTTGATTCACCTTTGCATGTCTGTCACAGTGAGGATGATAATTCCTTAACTCGAGCATTATTTATTTATTTATTCCATCAAATTCTCCACAAATAAGAATATCTAACTAATTCTAAATTGTAATCAGCAGTAAAAAAATTTTAACTATTGTAATTTTAATCTACTTATATATCAAATTGTTAATATTCAGAATTAACTTGACTTGTCATATATCATGTACAATGATCTACAGTGACGAAATAAATCAATCAATCAATCAATCAATCAATCAATCTTTAGTAGTGTAAGTATTCTGTATTGTGATACTGAAAAGGAAAGCACCCATATCTTGGGTGAAGAACAGGTACTTCTACTTGATAGACTGGATGACTAGGGTTCTGTTCCTGGTAGGGTCAAGGATTTGTCTCTTAGCTACTACATCCAGGCCAGCTCTTGGGTCTTCCCAACCACTTGCTCAAGTGTACTGGACGCTTTTTCTGAGGGAGTAAAGTGGCTGGAGAATATTCATTTAGTTCCAAGATTAACATTGTGTGGAGTAGTCCCTTCACTTTTCCATACGTTTTCATGGAATATTTCTAAGCTGAGAAGTAATATGATAGACCAGCAAGTCTAACAACAAAGGATAGTCCAGGGACATCTTGTTTCTGACCATATTCAAGCAGTATTTTGAAACATACCCCACTTCTCAGAGAATGGCTCAAAACAAGAAAGCTGGCAATGATAAAATGCACCAAGGATTAAACTGCTATGAAACAGTAGGTCAATGTCAGTTTCTATGAGAACTGGAATATATGTATATTCAGTATCTTACATAACAGAGAGTTTTCATTGTAGAATTTGGGAGGAAGGATGTCTTAAACCGACAACTTGGAGTAGGATACTCTGTAAAATTAATGATAAAAATGAGATAATTTAAAATTTTATTGTATTAAGGAATCTGTCAAGTGCATGACGTTCTACATTATAACTAGCAGACATGTATTTGGAATTCTCTTCCAAACATATTGATTAATTTATCCAAGATTTGAATATTTTCTTTTTTTACAAGGAATAGCATTAGATGGACTTTGAAGAAAATAAGAAATGATCTTTTGTCTGATACTGAACAGAATTTAACATGTATGCCCCTTGAATATTTAGAATTCAGCAACATTGTTCACTTTTTATGATGATTACAAGAAAGTAGTGATCAGTTTATCTAATACCTAAGAGAGGGTACTTGTCTATAATTGGTGGTGTAAGGCTAACTGTGGTACTGTACTACTGTCTGGTGACTATAAAATTAAGCTCTAATATTTTCAGTAAGAGAATGTGGAAACCAACCATTTAATAACAAGGAAGTTGTAGGCGATTGTTAACTCTTCTGCAGCCATGATGTTCTTAGACAGCTGATCCTCTCATGTCTGGTTCTTGCAGCAAATAAAGAACAGTCTTGAGAGTTTTACCCTTTCTTAATCGTGTCTAACTATCTAAGTCTCTCTGTCACAGCAACCATTTATGAGTGTGATTCAGTAATGCCCCATTAAAATAACAGAAATAAAAGTGGAGAAGACTATGATCTATTGCTTTACAGTATAGCTAGAAGACATTAGGAACTACTATTATAATCTCTCCAATATGTGACACAGGGGAGGAGCAGAAAATTCTTGAACTCAGCTTACAAATATTGTTTGTGAGAAATGCCACAAATAAAAGAGCTAATATCAAAAGAATATAGGAAAAATCATAAATTAAATAGTAAAATTCCAGAAAAAATAAGAAGAATAATCAGGTGCTCATTGGATAGCTCAGGCTTTGCCCCTCCATTTGTTACTATTAGTATTTGTATTTACAGGGTAACATATCCTAGCACTGTGTCTCCTGAGGAAGGAGTAAGAGAGGAACCTGTTCTCAGTAGTGAGTCTGAACCCCAGGTATCTGAGAGGGCAGCTGCTTGTGGTGATAGTCCTGTGTTCGGCTCACCATCCGATCCATTTCGAAAAGTTCAGTTTCAGATTGGTATGCCTGTTGACATGTCTTCTTATGTGTATATATTGTCTTGATTTGCACAATAATTATGCTATAACGAGAACTAAATTATCTCAGAATGTTTCAAGAGATTTTATAATTTTCTTTGAGGTAGAAGGAAATAAACTTTGCTGACTTATCATTATTATGAGCAGATACAAATAATTATGAACAATGAAAACAAAAAAGAAAGAAATAAAGACTAAAATGTAAGTTAGAAACAGAATATTAATAGAACTGCAGTTATCCATACAGCTTAGGTAACCACAGAAATTTACCAAATATAGAAATATAAATTATCATTTTGATTTGTTTCATTTTGGTCCGTCACACTAACAATTACAAATATAAATCACTCCGTCCAATGTGACCTGTAAGTTTTTTACTACATGAAAACTTAACACCCTTACATGTTTCGGTCTCTGTGGACCATCTTCAGAGGGCAAACATCACTACAAATAGGAAACCACCATCACATAAGTTGTTTAGACGTAAAGTACATACACTTATATGCTACAATACATAGTATACAAAATGTGAAATATACAAAGTTTGTGAAAAGTGAAATGTCTATTTTGTATACTATGTATTGTAGCATATAAGTGTACGTACTTTACGTCTAAACAACTTATGTGATGGTGGTTTCCTATTTGTAGTGATGTTTGCCCTCTGAAGATGGTCCACAGAGACCGAAATATGTAAGGGTGTTAAGTTTTCATGTAGTAAAAAACTTACAGGTCACATTGGACGGAGTGATTTATATTTGTATAAATTATCATGTTAGATATATGTTGAAAGAGGAATGTTCATGTGAAAGACCTCCTCAACTCTTTCTAATTTATAGATTGGTAAAACTGTATCCTTCTTTCAAAGGACTAGTGCTTTCTTTATCTCATGTTGTACAGTAAACACAATATTCTGCAAATGTAACTATTGCCAGCACAAAAAGATGTGTCTGTTTATAACAAAAAATAGTGCATGTATGTGGTACTGATATTAAAATGGAAGAGATGTCATAGTCAATGTACTGAACATTTGCAGTTAAAAATTGTGGAGGAGGTCTTATGAAAATATGGATATCATTTGTCAGATGTGTCCCATATGCATATTTGAATTAACCTAGCATGACTCTACAGCTGTAACAGTGAATATAATTTTAAAACCATCTTTAATCAAGTTGCAAACTAGCAGTAGCCCATGCATCAGAAGTTCAGAAAGACTCTTCGGTATAAAATGAAGTTATGGGTCATATTTGGGTTTACCTTGTAATGTGTTTCCTTGTCATCAAAATGGCATTGATTTTGTTCAGATATCTAATATGCTATGAATTTTAGTGCATTTCCTTCCTTGTAATACCAACATCAATTCCTCAGTCTCCCAAATGGCAGCTGCAAGGACTTTTCAGTGTACTCATTAACAGACTGTGCCTTTTTATACCTAAATTTTAGACAGTTTTTTTTTTCGGAAACTGTAATTATATTGTTGTTTAGTCTTGCACGATATTTGACTTACATGAGCACAGGAATAAAACAGCTCTTAAATTTAAATTTCTGTTCTTTTCATAAGCCTTTTGGCTACCCATATTGGTCATATTTACCACCCATGATTGTAGTGATAAAATTAAAACTCTTGCTCAGTCAGGTATTTTTCAGAACATTTTTTCACAATTGAAATGTGTAATGTACTATATGAAAGAAATATTATACAGTGCGTACAATCAAGTGCGCGCCGCGGCTGCAATTTGNTATGCATGGAGGGAACTCAAGAGAAGACCAAGATTTTCATGAAGCTTTATTTAGAGCTTTATTATATTAGTATATCACCCTTAACAGGGTTAAAAATGATAGTCATGCACATGTATAATATAATTTTAACTGTTTCATTACGTTTAGGAGCCAAAATAATTACCCATGGGTGCATGTATGTTCCATACATAGTGTCAAGTTGTATAAGAAGATGTACTTCACTTCAATTAACAAAGTTTCTTTTTGGAACAGATTTATATAGCGTAGTTTTTGAGATTCTCACAGCAGTGGTGATGAAGAATTTTATTTTGTGGGATATAATGCTGTGTAGTCCACTGAAAATCAACTGACATTTTGTGGGGACATATCACCTCCATCTTCAGGGTTGAAGAATAAGCTAAGCAGGAAACCAGCATGAAGCACTTAGTAAGCAGAGGGTTACATTTCTGGGCAAATATTTTTCAGTATCCAAATTTTGCTACTTAAAAGTCATGTAACACTGTATCATTGTTGGCTGCATTAAGTACATTATTTATTTACTATAATATTGTTTCATACCAAAAGTGATTGTGATGATCTCATAGCAGTCTTAAATTAAAAATGTTAAAGTTTGTTTTTAGAGGTTAATAGGGTCATAAGTTGTAACTGTCTCTGATTTTTGGTTAAGACCTATAATTTCTGATGTAGAGGAAGTTGGTTCAAACTCATGATGTATGCATTTATGGGATTAATAGGTGAAAAATATGTGAATAAAGCATAAATTTTTCGTTTTTCACATCAGTGAATGCTCAGATTATGGTCTTTTGGGTTTTGACACTGTGTAATCATGCATCAATCTTTAAATCTGAAGATGGAGACAGCATGTTCCCTTGAAATGTTGGTATCTGCTTACAGGCTACATAATGTTACAACCCAACCAGTCACAATGGAGGTGAACAAGACATGGTTATTTGAAGCTGTATGCATGCTGCTGATGTGTTCATGTGTGTAACTGTCCATTTGAGAGACTTAGATGATCATATGTGAAATGAGTCACAGTAAAGTGTAGAGCAGGAGGACCTTCAAAAAGTTTCTGCAAATTTAAATTTTTGAGAAAATGGAAAGAGCGGGATAGGTGGGGTGGGGTTTATTGTTGGGTGTCATCTGACTAGTCAGCAAGGCAAGACGGTTGACCTACCAGTTAGTGCCAGAGAATCTACAAAGGAGTGAACATGGCAGCAAAACTTGAGAATTGCACCAAGGAGGAGCAACAATCTGTGATACTTTTTTTGCAGGCAGATGGTGTACCAGGTGCACAAATTCATCAGGGCATGTGTGGTCAGTATGGGGGCAATGCTCTGTCTCACAGAGTTATGTATGAGTGGATCAAATTGTTGAAAAATGGCCGTATGAGTGTGACTGGTGCAGACTGCTCGGGTTGTCCAGCCATAGCCACACCTGCACAGAATGAAGAAAGAGCTAGGGAACTGATTCTTCAAAACAGAAGAGTGACAGTTGATGAATTTGAAAAACAAATGAATGTCAGCATTGGGTTTGTCTATTTTGTGGTGCATGATAACCTTCAGTTCCATAAAGTGTTTGCCAGGTGGGTATCTAAGAAACTGATGGATGAGCATAAGAGCACATGCTTAGACATTTGTTCCTGCCAGTTAGCTCATTACCACAAAGAAGGTGACAACATTCTGCAATGGATCTTCGCAGGTGATGAAACCTGGGTTCACCAATATCAACCAGAAACCCAGCAGAAGAGCAGGCAATGGAAGCATCTGTCATGTCCTGTTGCAAAGAATTTCAAGATGCAAAGATCAGCAGACAAGTTGATGTTGACCATCTTCTGGGATTCTCAAGGGCCTATTTTTGAGACCTACCTGAACGTGGAACAACTGTTGTGACATGCTTCAGAGAGGACTGAAGCCTGCAATCTACTCTGAAAGAAGAGGGAGACTGTCTGAGGGCGTCCTGTGTTTGCACGCCAATGCCTGTCTCCAGACTGCAATCTGCACATTGGAAACCCTCAGAAAATTGAAGAGGGAAGTCACAGAACATCCAGCTCACAGTCCAGATTTAGCATCATCTGATTTTTACCTCTCTGGATTACTTAAAGAAGGAGGGAGAAGATTTTGATGGAAAGAGGATGCAAGGAACATGGTGCATCAGTGGTTACATGCACAACCAAGGATTTTCTATTGTAATGACATTAAAAAATTGGTAGGATGCTGGGAATAATGTATTGAAAAGCAGGGTGATTGTATAGAAAAATAATGTATTTTGTTTTTGCAGTCATCAATAAAAGAGAGCTGTAAAATAAAAAATACAGAAACTTTTTGAAGATCCCTCATATATGTTGCATGCAGGAAATTGGAATTTAATACTCCTAAGAATGAAAACATACAAATCACAAGTGTGTAAAAGTACTATGTTAAGTGAGGTACACCTATACCTTGAGACTTTGCCTCCTTTAATACAAATTTAATAAATTTCCTTCTACAGTAGTATTTCTGTCATAACACTGGGAATTTCGATCCTAACACATTTAAGAGAATTAAATAATGTGCATTGCAAACAGGTGACCCAAAACCAGGAACAGAAGCCACTTTAGAGGAAGAGGAAACAGCAGCTGCTGAAGAGGCAGAAAGGAAAGACTCTGTGACCGAAGACCCTTTGAGTATGGAGTCAGATGAGAAGAAGAAGCAGAGGAGGAAACATAACCGGCATCACCACCTTCGGCGCAAGTACAGCTTTCCAGAGGACGGTGAATATATTGGACGAGTTCGAGGAGGTTCTGACTTCTCTGTGGAAAGTGCGCGTCACATCAGCATTCAGCCAGAGGAAGTCTCCATGCTGCAAGAGCAGGATATTGATGACTTGACAAGTAATTCATTTTATTGAATTCATGTATGTGTATATATAATTTAATGAAACTTGATAGGAAAATGAAAATAATTAAAATAGCCTCCCCTCTACACACACACAAAATAAGATTCTAAGACATGGGTATGTGGTTACTATCCTGCTTAAGGCTTAGATGTATCTGTGTGTTTTCCTATGTTGTGCTGTACTGTGTGTATGTATTGTGGTTCTTATTTTAAATTTTAAATACATAAATATTTCATAATTTAGAGACATGTTTCTAGGTCATCGGTTTGATGATGCAAAAGGTTTGCGTCGGTACAAGATCCAGTCTAAAAGTTCATCATCAGTGATTCACATTGGGAGGAAAGATGGAATGGAGCCTCTGCAGACAGTGTTACCAATCCACACACTCAAAAAGATGTTTGACCACCGTCCACATGAAGTGTTTGTGCAGTTAGATGAGCTGCATGGGGAAGGAGAAGAAAGAGAGTGGAAGGAAACTGCTCGCTGGATCAAGTATGAAGAAGACGTGGAAGAAGGTGCAGACAGATGGGGTCGTCCTCACGTTGCTTCCTTGAGCTTTCACTCTCTGCTTAACCTTCGTCGCTGTTTAGAGACAGGTAACTTCTTTGATATTACACTATGGCAGACTTAGAGTGATCCCATTGTGATCAGTTTGCTTTGTCGTAACACGTTACCAGGTACAATATATTTTCCTTGGCGTTTAAAATTGTAGGACTCGAACCATACTTGGAGTCTAACATGATTTTTTTAATTTCAGTCTGAACTTAATAGATGAACTACAAAATATTTGAACTCATCTTATATACATCCAGTCATTTCATTTCAGAAATTGTTGTCCATCATTGTGTACATGTGATAATTTTTCACTGCTGAAAATAAAATGAAGCTATGAGCCCTCAGCCATATCTATCAGAATCTTAGCCGTCAACTTCGTCAGTGAGGGAAACATCACCTGCTACCTCACATTGTGCCATTTCACTTTGTTTTCTCATTTTATGTTCTCTTTTCTCTTTATGTTGTATGATTGCTTTAATTATTACTGCTCATTTCACATTATTTACAGTTCATTGTTAATAAAATAATATATCTCTATATACTATATATTTACCTACATTTACTGTTATTTATATATTTATATATTATGAATAGGTCATCCTTTAATGCCCTTAAATTAATGACAAATTTGTTTTCATATACCATAACTAATTTTCATGTAATAAATGACTTGTAAACAAAGAATCTCTTTCATAAAACAAGAAGTTAATGCATATGTTTGAAAGCAAAGTAATTCATAAGGTCTGGTTTAAATTTTTGTTACTTTTGAAGTTGTTGGACATAATCTGGGATTGTATTGGGATGTGCCTTTCATTATACTGGTCTGGTTAATTCAAAGGGGTAAGGCTGGTGATATAATCTGCATGTCTCTGTAGGTGTGGTGCTGTTGGACCTGGAGGAGAAAGATTTGCCAGGGGTGGCTCATCGAGTGGTAGAGCAGATGGTAGTGGATGAGTTGATTGAACCTGAAGACAAACCCACTGTAATGCGGGCCCTACTACTGAGGCATCGACATGTAAATGAACATGATCGCTTCCGGTTTGGCATGAAGAGGACTTTCTCAAGTTACACTAGTCTCCAGGTGAGTTATTGTGGGTTACATCTCAGCTCATAACTTATTCCACTTGAATGTGACATATTCTCAATGGTATTTAACATATTGACAATTATTAGGATATCAGTATGGTATTTATTAGGTTATTATGTGTTTGATAAAACTCTTCATATACCTGAAGTGCCACTCATCTACTTTTACTCTTTTCAAACATTATTTTGTTTTGTATTCCCAAAAAGTGACAAACTTCATTTAATATTAGACTTGAAAGGATTCTGATGATGGTGTATGTTGTACAGAACTACTAGGCTTATTTTGGGCTCCATCTATCATCTGGTATATAAAAGACAATGGGCCCAACTGAGTAGGTTTATTCTGCCTCACCCACCTGAGAACGGAGACAGATTCAGTCTCCGAAACGTGTTTTTTTTTTTTTTTGTCTTTTATATACCAGACGATGGATAGAGCCCAAAATAAGCCTAGTAGTTCTGTACTTCATTTAATATCTCAGTTTGTCATTCAGTAATGTAACCAATATTTAAATTGATAGACAGTGAGTGATAGTGAGTGTGTTATAATGCTATTTCTCTGTATATGCTTGCAAAGCTATTTCTGGATAGTGTGCTCTTTCAGCTAGAATAATATAGTCTAATCCATCAATACATGATGTTGATATTATTTTTGACTTTGCATAATAAGATATTGACATCAAATTCAGATGTAAAGGCAAAGGCATAGGCAAAAGTGATATTATGCTTAATTAAGCACCACACCATGAAGACAGGTGGGGGGAGTGGAGGTGTATCTTCACATATTCTTAAACTTGGCACTAAATGAAAGTGAGTGATCAGCTGCACACTCTGGCTGCTTTATCCTCAGGAAGATAGCCCCTAGTACCCCACTGGATAGGAGGCTGACTGGGGCCAGGTTCTGTCTGGACTCTGCAGAGAGAAAGATCTCTTGCACTTGCCTGGAATCAAACCTTGATTCCTTGATGTGTGGCTCATAACTTAATCACTATAGCATTATACAAACAAATTGGACTTCTGGCATCAAATTTGACATTTATTATTATTTATTTACAAATATTTATTGCATGGGGTGAGGTGAGACTGAGTCCACTTGGTGTGTAGGTCGTAGGTGGGACTGCTGTACCAGCCCCAGGTGGAATGGAATTTGGTGGGAAACTGAAGTGCTCAGTAAACATACCACAGTATCACTTTGCCCACCATAAATCCCACATTGCCTGACCTGGGATCAAACCTGGGCTGCTGCACTGGGCAGCTGGCAACTAACCACCTGATTTATGGCATGACTCATATTTTACATTAGACTGGACAACTGGACTGTTCATGTGTTTGAATTTGTGCCTTGCAGTTGGTCTTGTCCCTTGTTAGTCATACCAAAACACTTTTAATGCTCTCTTGCACTGAGAAACCTGATTACAACCAAGAAGAAAAGGAAAAAGAATTGAGTAATAATGGAAAACCTGGTTATGTCAGTAAATGTCTCATGATTTCTTATTTATTATGGCTATGTATCTTAAGCCCTTATTCTCTTTCTAATGAGAATAAATGTCAGTGGTGGCTGTATTTCTACAGAACCTTGTAATTCCAACTGTTCTGTTCATTAAATTAATTTAAGTACTGATTGCTGCTCAAGTTTCACATAGTCCCTAACAGTGATACATAGAGCTAAAAAGAATGTATCCTCACTCTGTATGTAGTTGAGTCACTGGACTGGAACTGGTTTGGTGCACTCATGAGACATGTTACTGTGTGTTCACGGCATACACAGATGTTTTGAATCTTAAGCTCTAAAATGACTAAATATTCTTTAGCAGTGATCATTATGGCCCCTTCTGGTTGTCAAATGTGATCACATGGTAAATTTTATATAATATAAGAACTGGCTTTCATTCTGAATTTGATTGTTTTTGTGGGAGATGCATGTAGAGATAGTGCGATGGCCTATTGTCAGCGGTCTTAATGCCTACTTTAACTGGAAGGCTGAAGGATTTACTTGCATTAACTGTAATGTGTGTTCAATATTCCTCTTGTTATGGCAGTCATTGTCGTTGATGGATGTGGATGAAGATGCCAGTGGATACCTTGAGTTCATCGGAGAGTTTAAATCATTGAGCCATGTAATTGCCTTGATAATTGTACTTAGTAGAATGAGGCTGCTGATTTCCCACTTGGTTTTTAATACTTTTCTTATATTTTCTTATTTTCTTCCAAATGTACCCAAGGTATTATATTGCTCTTTTATTTTCCTCTATATTTATTTACAAAATTAAATGGAATTATACTTTACTTGCTCTTAGTTAATTATTTTGCACATTTAAATAGCAGTACAGCAGTGACACCATAACCTTTTAGTCATGTGGTAAGATCAGCTTCTCAGATATACTGTATGGCCATGTGACACTATTCACATTTCACATTTTCTTGACTTTTCAGAATACACATTGCATGAGAATATGTGCCCTTTGTATAGGGCTTTTCTTATCAGTTTGACAAGATCATTATAAAACATCATATCTTCTAGTATGATAATATTAGTGGAAGCCACCAGGCAGCACATTCAGCACAACCCTGTGTTCTTTTGCAATTTTATGCGGAACTCACATGAAGGTCATGTTCTGTTGGTGTTTCATTATGTAAAAATTGATGTATCATTGTAGGAATTACATTATTTCTCCACACCTAACACTTGAATTAGTTGGAATGCCAGTTATATTGAAATTATAATGCTGAGTCATACATGTCTGCACAGAGAAGGCTAAGAAAGTTGCCTACATTCTTAAGCACCATGCCATGGAAGCATTTGGGGGGGGGGGGGAAGATGTGACTTGACTCAGTCTGAACCATGATGCTAGATGAGGTGAGTTATCTTCCTCTTGTTCTGGCTTCTTTATCCATGTCCTTTAGATGAAGGACTGGATAGACCACAAGACCACTTTGAATGTGGTGGTGAAGAGACTAACCCCTGACCTTAACTTTTGCTAGAACAGTCATCCGTTCTGTAGCCAGTCATTTTAATGATTGAGCTTCTTTGACTCTCCTATATGGCATTTGTAGATAATCAGGTCATAGAAAGTAAAACATGGAAGGCACTCTTCAGTAACACTATGTGCTAGCAGTCTTGCTTTTACTAAATAAGTATGCTGTTCTCTTACGCAGCAAGTATTCAGAGGGGAAAAAACAACCCTCCAGTGATATGGATAGCTACTCTATCCACAGTGAAAATACCAAATTCTTTTATCTACCTGTGATGGATACTTTTATTTTGGTAAAGCATTCTGTTTTGCTTTTGTGATTGTAAAAGAGTGCTTTTTTTATAGATGCTGAATTGGGTAATTACAACATTAAAATACCTGTACAGTGTACAAGTATGTTATGAAATTGGTACACTGTTTTTAAAAGGCGTCTTTTAATGAAATTGATAATTAATTCTATTAAAATTAGCAGACAAAAATATTCACTAAATTAATTGGTTGAGTGCTAACATATTTGTCACATTTAAATTCTTCTTTTGAGCAGGAACTGCATATAAAATGATGGTGACCTCCGTCAGTTTTTGTATTGTTACTAGTTCAGATATCAGACTTCATTGCTGAAGATAACCACAGACTATTTAACACCATGCAGCAGAGTTATTGTTAAGAAGCTAATAGTAGCTCAGTTAGTCAAGAAAATCTCTTAATGGAATTTGAACACACTGTGTTCAGAGGAGTTTACAACTTATCCCTCTTTTGAGCTAGATGGGTTGAGTCCAGAAAGTATTTCTTTAAGATTCACTTTAATATTGCTATTCTGTCATCTGTGGTCAGGTCTTTGAAGCATTTTCTTCCGTTCAGCTGCAATACTAAAAATTTCTCTGCATAACTCATCTCTCCAATGTGTACTCTGTGCCCACCCATCTCAGCCTTCATGATGTAATGAAGAATTACGATTATGAAGTTCCTTATTATGCATATTACTCCATCATATTAATACATCTGTCTTAAGTCCATATATTCTCTTTAACAGTATGTTTTTAAATGCCTTCAATCTATATTTGTCCCTTAAGAGACATGTAAAATGAAAAATTATAAATTCTTTAGAAATTTATAAGTATAAATAAAGCTTTGCAGGTTTCAGGTATTTAAATTTAGATTCATTCTAGGAATATTTTGTGTAACATTTTGTAGACACGAAGCGGACTGCAGATTGCAGTTTGATGGCTCACAATTTATAGGAAGCAAGCCTGCCAGCTTTTTGGATCTTCTTACAAGCCATAGCTGGCTTTCTTTCATGCCCCTACCTGTTAACATTGAATTGTATATAAAGTAAATGGTTTTATGGACTAGCCAAATTAAGTTAGTAAGATGTGGTAAGTTTCTTGATTCCTTGGTGATTTGTATGGAGATTGTGATTTATGCTCTTGTAATGTAATAATAACCCACTTAAGAGAAATGAGCATTGAAGTAGATGGTATTTAATTTATTATGTAGGTAGCACTAATGACATTTTACACCATTGCATAATGTGATTATTCAGTTACAAGTTTGGAAAAAGTAATATTTTTTTTTCATGGACACATTAATATACTTACAGTAAATGGTATCATAAGGTATGTCAGATTTCCCTACATTTTCACATTTTTGCCCTCCGTTTATACCTGCAATGGCACTATTGTTTCAGTTCTATGTAGGTAAGATAAAACTATATTCAGAAATATTCTGTATATTTGCAGATACAGTGTTTAGTTGTTTGATTTGTGACTTGTCATTATTGCCAACTCTGATATAGAATTTGACACTTATTGTAGAGTGTACTTAATATAGTTCAAGTGATTCTTGCCCCAAATTTTTGCACTCTAATTTAATTTACAAATCACGCATAATAATGGCAGTGTAAAAATACAATTGCATATGTGGGTTATATGACACTGTTGTACATTTAGAGTAGAAAATGTAGACAGCATATGACATAACTGCATTTATCCTGAAATGTGGTTTGGGCATGCCTGGTTTAACTGGAGGTATGTTTTGTGATTTATCTCCTTGTTTGACTGGTTTATCAGATTTACAGTGTTCCATTCTGCACATATATTTAACCCTGATATTGGCTATGCAGAAATGCTTGCTGCAAATGGTATTTATGTTGCATGGATTTGATAATGTGCACAGGCAGATGGCTATGCTTAGAAGTACACTTGTTTTAGACCAAATTTATCATTGTGATTGTTGCACATGATCTATTCTCCAAAATTTGTTTCACTGTTCTTACCTGCAAGATGTCTTAAGAGAAATGTGGTAGTGCAAGCATTTGAGTTCTAATGTATATATGAAAATTGTTTTTATTGAAAACGTTTGTGATCTGTTAATGAACACACCTACTGCAAACAGTTTTCAGTGTTTTGCATATTCACATTTTAAGAAACATTGGAATATCTTTAACATAATTTTCTTTCAGTGTAATTTAGATTTAGTTATATACCAGTTTATTTCAGTTATCATTGTTATGTTACTTATAGTTAATAAAAAAGCGTGGATGATTGTGTGGAGGAAGAAATGTAATAGCCAAATTTAATAACAGCAAGAATAATAATTACAATGATGATAGCGATGGAGGTGATGAAGAAGATTAAGATGATAAAAATATTTTCTTCTGTATGTACACAAAATTCTGACATCGAGACAGTTCTTTTATAAAACAACAAAATTAAAAATAATTTTTTATGAAAAATGAGAGGAGAATGGAACTTTTAATAAGAATAAGCATAGTGTGGCATGAAAGCTCATTGCTGGGCAACGACTGTGAGGTAAGCAAGTATACAACAAGCGTGTTTCCACAGCAACAGAGGAACATTGTTTTCAGAGCGGTTCATGCTGAGATGTTATAAGCAGGAGAGTTAGTGAAGTGAAGTCAGTTAAGTGAAGTTAGTGAAGAGAGTTGGTTGGTGAGTGACTGAGTTAGTCCATGGCCTGCTGAGGTTCAGTCATGAGCTGATGCTGTTAGAATCTGGTAGCTGAGGCTGGGGATAGTTCAGGAGCCCAGAGGAAATGGAATGCTCACCAATACTGAGCAGCGACTTGTGAAGACATGACTGTGGACACTTGTGTGCGTGTGCATGCTTTTTTTTTTTCTTTTTATTCCATTGTCTCTCTCTTTTTTTTTTTGTTTGTAAATGGAGTTCTTGGCATCTTTCTGTAATTGTGTGATTAGCCATAGTTGCAGCATATCCAGGTAGCTGATACTGGTAACATTTGGCTCCATAAAGAAAAATGGTCTCAGCCGATGGTCCTGGCTGGCCCATTCATTTCGCAGAACCCAGACATCTACTCTGCTGGACTTTCTTATACCACTCACAAATTGTTTTGTTCATAGGTGGTTCTGCATGGTACTTGTATATCTAAGTGTTTCAAAGGTGATGAAACAGTGATGTACGTTCACATATGCTATTACAGATTTAAACAAATAGTTTGATGTTCCCAACTATCACGTATAGTAACGGTGGGAGAAGAGATGCAGACTGTGTGAAATGTCTGATACTCAGCCTCAAAGAACATTAATGTTTAGAATGTGTTTGGGAAATAAAATGATTTTGCTTGAATTGTAATATTTTTTGTTCTGAGAAATTATTTATTATGTGAAGACAAAGCTTATTTTAATATTATTATAATAGAATTATGCAAGAAAATATGTAAGTTATATATAACATTGTATTTTGGACTATGGATACTGCATATTTTACACACAGATTTGTAGTAGAATCTTGAGAGATGTGATATGCATAAACACTGGTTAAACTGAAGAGAGATTATAGTTTTAATGTTGTATTTTAGCGTCCTGTTGCACTGATTTAAGTCCATGATTTATTTCAACCGTCTTCCAGTGCACTGGAAGACGGTTGAAATAAATCATGGAGATTATACTTGTTATATATGACATTATTAAAGAGATAATCACCTCTACCAAGTCTAGACATCATTAACGATAGTCCTTCAAGCCAGCATTTAAACCTGTACTAGTTTTACACTGCAGTGATAATTAAAAGCCAGCAAACCACACAGCCTGGCAAGGACATATTCAGGATACTGGCTTGAGAGGTTAATATGTCTGTGAAAGCAGAATTATGATTGCAGTTTCACATTGTTCTTATGTCTGATTCATAATGTACCATATATCTTATAGTAAATATAGTTTTGTATATGCTGCAGAATTTGGCAGAGGATAAAGTAAGACCCAAAATTGTTCCATCGATTGCAAGCATGGATACTGTTTCCTCAGTGAAGTCACCCCCACCAGTTAGCAACCATTTTGGTCATAATGAATTTGAAGCCAAACCTGAAAATCATACGGTGAGTATCAAAGTAACTTTTAATTGTCTTTCTGAAAATTATATTCTTTACATTTGAGTAAATAAAGAGGGTACTGGTAGCTGTTGAGACGCAAACTGTGCTGTACTACAGTGTAAGGCATTGAGGATTGTTTGGTTGGTTGCCAATTCCACCTCTTTTTCTAAGACAATTAGAAGAGAACAGATAAAAAGAGTTGACTGATCCAATCAATATACCTGAATGATTTAAAAATCAGAGTTTTCAGAGATCTCTAGGAAACATTTAGTACTGGTGACATCATCGCTGTTACTGGAACAGGTTTTCTTCTCGTTTCACTGCATCCAATACATGAGCTTATTATGGATGATACTTTGTAGCAAACATTTTTGATGTTTCTGTTGTCATTATGAACCAGAGATCCTCTGTTACTGACATCAGAGTTATTTGCATACAGAATGAGGATGAGTTTCAAAATATAATTTATATTTGTCTGATATGAACCAAACTGAAGTTTTCTTGACAACCTTTAGTATAGATTCAAATGCCAAACATTATCAAAATCCAGTTAGTAGGTTTGGAGATGATGCATGTGAGCAGATGGAAAGCAAAATGACATAATCCCTCTATCATAATATATATATATATATATTTTATATCATGCGAAGAACACCTAATGACTGTTGAATTCTAATACACATCAGGATGCACTATTGTAACAGGGGACATATCGCAAAAACTTGTGTAGGACATAATCTGTCTGCTCCTCTAATCTGACAGAAGATTTCATGCTAGTTGTCTTGCTCATGGAATTGTTACCTGTGTATCCATATTTGTAATTTCTATGTGACAGTGCACATTTTGTCTTTAGTATATCAACTGTTCGTGCCCTAGCAAAGGGAGCTCGAAGTTTCTGGTGAAAAGCCACCTGCTGTATTGACACTGTAAATGACATTTCGATGTATTTCAAAGTGATGGTGCTTTTGTTTCCCTTTAGTTATAATCCCATAGGGATATTCAAAATTATTTTCTTCATGAGCACTTGCTAATCTTGGTTCATTCAGGTTGAAATAAAGGAAGAGCTTACCTACATGTCTTCCAGTGAGGATTTGAAGAAGGCAGCCAAGGAGAGCATTCTAAAAAGAATACCTATGGGTGCTGAAGCTACCACGGTACTGGTGGGTGCTGTGGACTTCCTGGAGCAGCCCACTATTGCATTTGTTCGTCTTGCTGAGGGTATCCTTATGCCTTCCATCACAGAGGTGAGCATTAATGTAGCATAACTCAGTGATAATCATCAGTGATTCAGGAGATATGCAGTGACAGGCTGTGTGTATTTACAAATTTAAAGTGATAATGTTATTCGTGTGAGACTGTTTATATTGATCATGTTCAAGACATTCAGAATAAATAAATAAATAAATAAATAAATAAACCTATCTAATGTCAGATGCAGTTAAAATTCTATGTTTATCCTGGTGAACATAGGCTTAAAAATGCTTAAAAATTTTAATGAATATGGCTATATTGTGTTAAGGAAGATCAGAGATTTAGGCGTTTTGCAACAAAATTTACTCTTAGGAGGATAGAAGCAATGGGCAGTTGGAAGTATTGTATAGCAAGAGCTTTTCACCTAATGATGTTAGGGTGATTAAATAAAGGAGAAACTTTGAATATTGGTGCCTTAAAGGAGGAAATTTTTTATTGAGAATCTCATTTTTTAAGGAAGACTACACCATGAGTTCAGTTAGTTCTGCCTTCCTGTGTAAGATTCTGTCCTACAAATTATGAACAGTTTATGTCCTTGGTTTGTAAGTTTTCTGTGAGTGCGATGTAAGTGTTCTGCTTCAGTCATGAAATCCCTGTCTCTTTTCCAGCAGATATCAGTTTTCTTTGGTGACTGAAACTGAAGAGCGTAAGAAGTTTATTACATGTGTATTTTTAGTGGTGTTAAGAAAAAGCTGTTATGTTAGGAAGCTGACCCCAGGAATTTACTTGCAAGAAATTTTATTGTTGGCTTATGATATCAAATTGCTTTGTAGTACTTCAGAGGTACCTGTTGGTGAGGAGGAGAACACTGACATTAGATTAAATAATAGTGGGACTCACTGAGCAGAATGGTGTAGCCATATCGCTCCTGGCTTGTGATTAGAGGGTACTCAGTTTAGATCTCATCTGAGCTACCAGGTTTGTGTAGTTCTTTCAGTTTCTTCCCTCTAATGCTGGAGTAGTACAATGAGTTTTTTAGACACCATGGTCGTAGAATGGACATGCGCATCATGGATCAGATGAACTTGATATCAACTTGATAAAGGAGCATCAGTGTCTTCTGCATGAGTCCTCGCCTTCAGGAAAACTCACTCTGTCTTCAAATATGCTGTGACTTCATTCTGTCAGATTTTTATTGCCCAGCATTCATGATCAACTTCCCGACTTATGTAACACTGTATCATGTCTGCAGTTGAAACAGCATTGTTAAGTAAACTGAGAACCATGACTCAACCAAACAATAACACAATTTTTTCTCTAGGTCACCATCCCTGTAAGGTTCTTGTTCATTCTCCTGGGACCAACCAATGCTGACTTAGACTACCATGAAATTGGTAGATCCATTTCTACACTCATGTCAATTTCAGTAAGTGACAGTCAAACTTGTTCAGATTCTTTTATTTGTTAATTATTCAGTTAACTACTGAGATAATAATTATGCAGTCAGTTAATGACTACTCAGAAGTTGTTTTAATTAATGATAAAATATTAATCACTTAAAAACTCATAACAGTCTTCATCTGATATTAACATTTTGTATTTTGATTTTAATTTTAATTTGTGTTGTACCTTCTGGCATCAGTGAAAAAAGCATCTTGAAGACAATTCCTGTTATTTCTGTTTCTTAAAGTCTACTCCAATACTAAAGATCCTAAATACTCTTTGATCCTTTCACACTGTTATAGCAATAAATGTTTGTCCCATACAGCAATTCCACAAAATTGCATACAAAGCTGATGAACGCAAAGAACTGCTGTCAGCTATCAATGAGTTCTTAGATGACAGTATTGTTTTGCCACCTGGTGACTGGGAGAGGAAGGCATTACTTCCATTTGATGAATTGAAGGCGAAGAGTGAGATGATTCGTCGGAGGAAGACAACACGTCTTATGGAAGCTGATGAGGCTCAGAAAGGTATGTGGCTGTATTCTAATGTGCCATCAACACACGTGACATGATTAAAATATAAATTTGATTCATGTTTTTCTGCTTTCTGTGTATCAGGCAAAAACCTGTACAAATGTATAGTCATCATTTGAATGATTTTCCCTTCGGTTTGTGTTGAAAATCAAGTCTGGAAGTGTTTTGTTATCAACTCAGTTGAAATTGGCTAACTTTAATCTTTATAATTGTTAATTTTTCCATTTAAAAAACAAATACTATACTTATTTTGTCTATCTCATTGTTTAATTTTGTCTTAGCCAATATTTCCCATAACATTTGACAATAATTTCATTTTTGCTGCCTTTCATCAGTCATTCTAGGGAAATATTTGGATAGTCCTTTAAAAATATGTTATGTCCACTTTCACATTCTTCCCGGTTCATCATTTAGTGATTATTTCATTCAGTGCTATATAATCTAGGCACTCCAGAAAGGACTGTTAAATAAACTATGAAGCAAACGAACTTCCTATCTAATTTGACACCGTATAATCTCAGAAGCTGAATAGAATTCTTATATCCTTGCTTATTCTTATCCTTTCTGTAAACAATTGCTTATATGGTAACAGAATGTCAGTGTTTGGTGTTACAGCTCTATTGCTTCTGGACACAGATGGTGAGAAGCCACCTCATGATGATCCGTTGAGAAGGACAGGGATGCCATTTGGTGGGCTAGTAAATGATCTGAAGCGAAGGTTTCCATATTATAAATCAGACATTACAGAAGGCTTAAACCTGCAGTGCCTAGCAGCAGCCATATTTATGTACTTTGCAGCTCTCTCTGGTGCCATCACATTTGGTGGTCTCATGGGTAAGGTTTACAAAGGACAACAATTTTCAAGGGGAGGGGCAAACTCTAGGGATAAATGTTAACATGAGGTAAGAAGGCAGCAGCAGTCTTTGCGCTTAATTTCTGATGTTGCCAGTATGTCCTAATAAAATGCTACAGGATCCATTTGTCGGTTTTCAATATTGGCTTGTTATACCAGTCATAAATAGCAGATATTCTCAACTATGTGTTCAGAGAAGGAAGTATCGAGTTCATTTAACCTCTAGAATTTGTCATTTCTTTCTCATGTGTGGGAGAACCATATTTTTCTTGGTAGCTAAACGTTATGTGCATTAAATTGTCATGAGATATATATTGTGGGATTGTTGATGTTCTAAAAGACAACCACGTAAAAATGTAAAAATTGTATATATTAAATTGTATTCTTTAGAGAATTAGAAATCTTACCTCTGGCATCTCAGTACATACTATCTCTTATGCTCTTTGTGATAAAAAATAGAAACAAATTCATAGTCAATTCAGAGATTCATAGAATAAATACCAGACAGCAAAATAATCTCCATCAGCATCTTGTAAATTTGAGTAAATACCAAAAGGGAATTTACTGTTTAGGAATAAAGGTCTATAATAATCTGCCACAGTATATTAAGGATATATCGAGTGACACTAAGAATTTTGAGATACAATTAAAACAATTTTTATATTTACATTCTTTTTATTCCTTACAGGAATATTTTTGTTATAAATCTTTTTAAGGTGCGAGTAGTTTTCTTGCTTTACAATTAAAAGAAGACAAGGTTCTCAGTCTGTGTTCTGGTTTTTAGATGCTTATTTTAAATATACACAAATTTATATTACTGTATACTAGTCTTTATTTCAATTTATTATATATTTAATGTATGTGATACAAAATTCATTAATGACATTATGTTTTAACTATTGAATTTTTAATTAATAGACTTGCATAAAACTGTACAAATTGTGTAAGGCTTTCCATTACTTTTACTACTAAAATTAACTTATTTATTATATTCTATATGTTTATCAGTATTTTATACAAATGTGCATGCTATTGGGTGACAACTGTAATCCTTAGTTGTGACTGTAACAAGGACGATCTCCACATCTGCATGAGAATGTACTCTCGACAGGATTTATGGAAGGTGAAGAAATGAAATGAAATGAAAATGTATAAATTGAATATACAGAATAGCTACGAAGCTATGTGGAATGTCGATGTTCAAAAGTTGGCTGGCCCTGAAAAGGGCAGTTTGTTCCACCATGAGTGCGCTGGCAGAATTTGCTCCTTTGTAGTAGACCAAGTCTTTATGGCTGTTCAGCTGGTTTGTCCAGCCGGTGATTTGGTGCTGTGTGCACCGGTAGGAACAGCTGCCTACAGTGTGGATGATGACTGAGCCGTTGTCTCGGCTTGGTTGCTTGAGAGCTGCGGCAGCTACGTTAGCTCTCTGGTAGCAGAGCGTGGTTGCTGGAGAGTTGCGGCAGCTATGTTAGCTGTCTGATGACTCTGATGACCGAGTTTGATCACTGACGATTGCTAGTTTTGGGCTCCGCCTTTTATACCATGCTTGCTGGGCGGAGCTACAGTTGCAGTTGTGATTGTGAGCGCTGATTGGCTAGCGCACGCGATGATGTAAATGTGGGCTGGACAGCATGTGCTGTAGCAGCACAAGTGCTGGCGGCAATGTGATATTGACTAGGAGTTGATTGCTGTCTGTTAGACCGGCGAAAGCGCGTGTTAGTATGTGGGATGTTCCCACAATATTAATGAGAAGATACTATATTTTTAGTGTCTTTCTAGTCTCATTTTTAGTTTGTAGTGAAAATAAAGCTTATGATATCATATCGATGCGTCCACGGCTATGTGTTGATCCTATTGTAATGTGGGTAACATTTGAACCAGCTGATGGATTTTCATGAATCTTCATGTAAGCATCATGATACTTGATCCTTTTTACATTTATACTTTTATATTTCCAATATTCAATAATAGCCACATGGCTAACATGCAGATTTCTTAGACAGTACTCATGCATGTTCTGCCTTATAGTCCGGAAATGTTGTGTAGTAACAGGTATGAAAATATGTGTCTTTTGAAATACTATTTTGTAGACTGTGAAAGTGCATAGTAGGTAAGATCTAAAAGTTTGTGATGATGCTGCATTAATACAAATATTATATTTCTGGACATAGCCATCATCCTGCTTTTATTTAACATGCATCGTTTTTGGGACTGGATTCTGTCACCATCTTCAGGTAAAAATATTCAGTTGGCCCTAATCCAGTCTTCAAAATGTGTTTTAAATTAAAACAGGATAATGTATAATGTGTAGAAATATAACATTTGTACTACATGGTAGAGTCAAATATTTTGTGAATGTTCACCTGTGTGAGCTTACATGTCATTGAGGTGACATTTACTGCACATTGCCTTTGATGTAATGCCATTCTTCTGTTATATGCTTGAGTCAGTGACTTTACTACAGCTGGAAACACCCTGCAGGAACTTCAGATTTCATAATGCATCTGAAATTGATCATCATCTTTGAAAATGTAGTAGTTAGATGACTGCACAAATTATTTGTTTGTGGGTATTGCAGATTAAAATGGCAAATTTAAATAGTTCTCTTATATTATGTTGTAGTCCTTGTATGCAAAGGTGTGAAAGTACTCTGTATGGAAACTGTGCATTTCTGATGCTTTGCGTAATTCTGCTTATGTGATCTGTTTAAGATGGCACAGATTATGAGAGTATATGGCTGGTATTTCTGTGCTTACTTTATATTGTCATTCATAGGAGACAAGACTGACAATCTGATAGGCATATCAGAAACATTGGTATCAACATCAGCAGCTGGTATATTTTTTGCACTTCTGTCTGGCCAACCTCTGATCATCATAGGAGCTACTGGTCCTCTACTGCTCTTTGATGAGAGTCTGTACAGTGTGAGTTTAAACTGCTTGTTCTTTAAGTACTGTTCTCACTTGTGTATATTGAGACAGCCCTGTACCAGAGCTGGTAAAGTGACAAATCATATAGCCTGTACAAGATTTGAGGTTATTATGTCAGTGACTCTTACCATACTCGTATGGCAGATAGTTTTCAGTTTTTCAGATGAGCCTGCTATCTCCACCTTCAGGGTAGGTTTCTATGGTGAAGATGGAGACAGCAGTCTTCATATCACCTGGGAGTTTTGTTCCATTCTTCAGAGCAAGTACAAATCTGTCCACAGATCTTATATATAAATGCAATTAAACACAAACATAACATGCTCTACTTCTTAAATAGTTCTTATTGAAATTTTTAGCAGATTAGTTTAGTGGAGAAGTCTGGGCTTGTTTTCACTTAGATTATTAGCTATCATAAGTGACATTCATGTGATTTTCTTCAGTCTCTCCATGCAGATGCCGAGATAATACCTTAAAACAGGCCAAAACCAGCTTGTTCCAAATGTTTACATCTCACCTATTCATGGTCATCCTTACATTTCATTTGATGATACATATATCATTCCTGGAGGTGAAATGGTGTCATTAAGTAAACTTAGACATTTTATGTATGACAGAGAGATAGTATTATATTATCCATATTCATTAATCAAGAGTTTGGTTCAAGAAAGTCAGTCAGTGTGGGCCATTTCTTGTATCAAAATGTATGTTAGCATTATTTTATATGAGCATGAGTGATAATTTGTGAAAATATATTATTTGCCACTATTTATATCCAGATCTGCATGATTAATGGTTTTTTATATTTTATAGACAAGAAATCTTATTTCTGAATAAATAAAATGATAGGCTGTGGACCTGATGACACTTGTATCGTTTCTGCTCAGGGAATTTTGATTTTTCTCATCCCCATGTTCATAATAGCTCTGAGACATAACCAGCCTATTATTCAGTGGGCCTGGAGGGCTGTTCTCCTTTGGATGGAGGTGACTGGCCCATAAAACTAATTATTCATCTACGGTGAAGACATAACCATATAAAAAGTTATTGAAAATAGTGTTAAAAATCTGAGTTACTACCAGCATTGTTCAGTCAACTACAAACAAACTCAGTTTTCTGCTTCCAGACACAGGTTCATATTTGTATTAAAAATTAGGAACGTCATACCTTTTACTCTCCACTTAAAATTTCAATATTTTTTAATCAAAAGGAGGGTGAGATAGTTTTGTAGCATGTATTGAAGAAATAAGAAGAATGCAAGATATTAATTTGGAAAGCTTATGCTTGGAGACCTGGGTGTGGATGGGAATGTAATATTGAATTTGATTGAACAAAAATACTCGCGTGTGTTGCTGGTATATACTGGATTTAAATGACCCATGATGGAGTGTATGGAAGGCTTTTCTGAACATGGTAATGAACGTTTAGGTTCCATAGAGGCAGAAATTCCTTGACTAGCTGAGGAACTGTAATCTTTTGAAGAAAGACCCTACTGCATGAAGTTGGTTAATCAATCAGTTGAAAGTCTTTAACATTAAATTCAGGTGTCCAAGAAAAGTATTACTATATTTTAAGGTTAAAATAAAACTCTGCACTTGTTTCAGTTTTGTCTGACAAATGGACTGGATTTCCTCACAATACGAGTGTATATAGGCCTTTGGCTGGGAATTATTGGCATGGTGGTTGTGTGTTTTGAAGGCAGTGTCCTGGTGAAATTGTTCACTCGCTTCACAGAAGAAATCTTTGCAGCTCTTATTTCAATACTTTACATAGTTGAGAGTATTGAGAAGCTGTTTGTGGCAAGTATCATTTGAACCTTGTGTATATATTTTTGGGCAGATAGTGAAAGAGTAATGAGAAATTAATATAGCTGATCTGTTCTCAGAGTTTTGTATATTCTTCGTGACAGTCTGTATGCTTGTTTCATCTCATATCACTCCAGTACAGATTCATGAAGCTCGAATCAAACTTTAAATTTGGCAAAGAATATTTTCAACAAAAAATAAGTTCACAATTTAAAATGCAGTACACAATAAGGCCAACAACTTTTATTCAGTTTTTTTATTGTGTATATTCAATTAAATACATAGAAAATGGAAACTCAGTGTAGTATGAAGAAAGCAGTCTTCTGGGATTTGGCACTGTGTATATGTGGTGTTAACCGACGTTTCGGAGGAACGTATCGCCCCCATCTTCAGGGTAGAAGAAAAAGTATAAGAAATCTGCAAGCGACAACACCGTGAGAAACGGTCGATACGTTCCTCCGAAACGTCGGTTAACACCACATATACACGGTGCCAAATCCCAGAAGACTGCTTTCTTCATAGTCACCGCCGTGAAAGCCTCAAATCTTACTCAGTGTAGTATGTTTGTATTGTAATTATCAAGGTCACTGATATAAGTAATATGACAAAGAAGAAGTATAGAAAAATATATGCAATCAATTTGATCACACCTTGTCACTCTTGTAAGCTTATTGTTTTTTAATAATCTTATATTCAAAGTTGAACATGTATGCAGGCGTGATATGTTGAGTGGAGTCAGGAGTATATCAATTTTGCTTATTGGCATTGATAACTGTATTGTGAATGGAAATTTTTGTTCTTTTTGGCAGGTGTTTCATGAGCATCCATTGATGGCAGACTACTGCTCTGGCCCGTTCATACATAATGACACGGCGTCCAACAGTACAGATTATCCAGAGAACGGAGCAAGTGTTTGGAATGGTTCTGAAATTTACAGTAGCAACGACATTGAATCAATAGTTATTAATGACAGTTACAGAGACTCCAGGTATGTTAATATAAATTTCACATACCAAAATGATAAAAGAAATTTCTTGCTGAATGCAACATGTCAAAGATCAGCCATTCCATGTAAGACCTTAATGTTTTTATAAGGAAATAGGCCTTAGAAAATATGAAACTACAGAGTCTTTCTTGAAGGATTGAATTGCCTGACTGTCTTGCCATCAGCCTCTTAACTAGAAACTTAACTGTCACCTGCCGACAGGAAGAAGTCATGGTCAATATGATGCACATGACAAACACAGAAATGCATTTCTTAAAGTGAATAAGTTGTTTACAAAAAAAAATCTAATGCAATAGATGCTCAAAATGTCTCGCTTGTGCTCTTAAACAAATTTCAGGACTCTCGAAAACATTGACACTAATTTTAGTTCACTGATCTTGATAAATAGAATTGTTTCACAACTGTTGTGCTGAAGTTCATCCATTGAATTCACTTTGTTTTTTAGGTCCTCCAACAGATAAAAATTCCAGGGATTCCAGTCTGGAGACCTTGCATGCTACAGTGTGTGACTTATGAGTTTGTCTTCAAACAGCTCATTTATTTATTATTATTATTGGAGGGGATGGGTTTCCCAATGCACTGCGACTAATAGTCTATTGTACATCCCCCTTTGATATTCTACCTGTTGCCATACCCTGCCGGTACTGGTGCTTGCTATCAGCCCCATTCAGCCAGCGAGGCTGGCAGTGGTACCCAATAACTTCCCCGTTTACCGGAGGCATTGGAAACTACTTGGCCGGGAAACTTTTGCCTAATTTTGCTCAGAGGTCTCCTAGAGACATGAGGATCTTTTACGTGCCATAAATCTACGACACGGGACCCACGGCTTAAAGTCCCTCCTGGAGGATTTGTTCCCTGAATTTTTTCGCCCTTAAAAATTCCACGACCTCCGCCGGGTTTGAACCCACGTACCTTGAGTCATGAGGTGTGAACGTTGCCCCTAGACTACAGAGGCTGCTAACAGCTCATTTAAAATAGTAATGGAATAATTAGCAGTTTGTGCTGAAGCACAATCTTAGAGAAAAAGAAGCATGTATTTTCTTTGTCTGCAAAGGGCTGAAGAATGTGATTGACATACCACTGTGAATTATTAATCTCTTCAAAATTATGGGCTCTACTATTCATATAGCAGTAATGGCACACTACACACCAGTCTTCTGATAATGAAGGGACACTTCAGAAGTCTCTCAGATTAATACTGTTGTCTTCTGATAATGAAGGGACACTTCAGAAGTCTCTCAGATTAATACTGTTCCAGTAGCTGTTGAGCTGAGCATTGATATGCTGACTAAGATGGAATGGACATTCTGGGTCAAGAGCACCGTCATGTAATAACCACAAAAATCAGTTATAAAAATGAGATCTTCTCTCATAAGGATATTCTTCCATTACTTGAACCTGCCTAATTTTATACAACACTAGATAAAACCTCTTAGCTGCCTCCTTGTTGTTTTCATTGAAACCTGTACCTGCTGAGATACTTGTGTCAGGGATTTGTGGGATGAATGTTCTGATCTGGCTCCAGGTTCATAAAGCTTTTCATCAATCACTAGTGCATTTATTGTCTGAGAAAGATCCAGTTGGATGCATTTTCTTCACAAATTTGAAAATCATTGATGTACCTGGAACTCAAACATGAGGACGCTTATAGCTAGCCCTTCTTCTATATGATTTACATGATTTATTAATGAATATGAATGTTCTATTAAGTGCAATAATTTAATATTTAAAAAGCCCTTAAATATTTTGGCTACTGTTGGCTATTATGAGTGGCCAAAATCAGGCCTCTAAAGGAGACTCTTTACATGTACGATAAACACGCATCACAAGTTTAAAATGGATTTTTGCCATTACCTTCTGATTGTGGACAATAGTGGCCAAAGCATGTAAAGGGTTTTTAGATATTAAATTGTTTGACTTGATGGAACCTTGACATTAATTAATTTGTTCAAAAGTGCAACATCATAAAATGTGAAGAAAGCAGTCTTCTGGGATTTGGCACCGTGTATATGTGGTGCTAACCGAAGTTTCGGAGGAACGTATCGCCTCCATCTTCAGGGTAGAAGAAAAAATATAAGAAATCTGCAAGCGAAGAGACCGTGAGAACCGGTAAAAGCAGACTGATGTTGGAAATATACACAGCTATGTGAGAGCAGAGAAGGAAGGGGGGAAGGGCAAGTATACAAGTGAAAACAGTAGTGTGGGAGGGGGGGNGATCCATATAGCGGGTCTTGGTGGCGAGGATGGAGGTATTCTGAAGTTGAATGCGGTGTCCCAGATCGATGCTGTGTTCAGCTACGGCCGACTTGTCTGGTTGTTCGAGACGGATGTGCCGCTGATGCTCCTTCAACCTCATGTCCACAGAGCGGCCTGTCTGTCCAATATAGACCTTCCCACACTCGCATGGGATACTGTATACACCCAGTGTCCTTAGGGCCAGGCTGTCTTTAACCGGCCGGAGGAAATTGGATAATTTGTTTGGAGGCAGAAGCACTGCTTTGATGTTGTGCCAGGACAGCACTCTGCTGATACGGTTGAATATGGTCCTGACATAGGGAAGGAAGGTGACTGAGCCTGGTTTGCCTTCAGGCCGGCTGATGTTGGGCCGACGGTTGAGAACTCTGTGGATCTGCCGGTTGTTGTATCCGTTCTTCTTGAATACATCTTTCAGGAGCACCAGCTCCGCATGTAGGCTGTCTTGATCACACAGTGCTCTAGCCCTGTGCACCACTGTGGAAAGTGCAGTGTATACTTGCCCTTCCCCCCTTCCTTCTCTGCTCTCACATTGATTGATTGATCAGTAATCTGTCAGATGACAGGTCCATAGTCTCTTCCAAAACAGTTCCTCCACTTAATGTGATCTTCTGTTTTTGGAAAGAGACTATCCAGGAAAAGTGATAATGTGGTAGTTTTTCCAGAGAGCTCCACAGCTCTCACATAGCTGTGTATATTTCCAACACCAGTCTGCTTTTACCGGTTCTCACGGTCTCTTCGCTTGCAGATTTCTTATATTTTTTCTTCTACCCTGAAGATGGAGGCGATACGTTCCTCCGAAACGTCGGTTAACACCACATATACACGGTGCCAAATCCCAGAAGACTGCTTTCTTCATAGTCACCGCCGTGAAAGCCTCAAATCTTACATCATAAAATGTCTCTTACAAAAACATGATTTATTCTTCACATAAGTATCATATAGAAGAACCCACTATTCAAGTGTAGATTTCACCATCTCAACTGAATACTCTCAATGAGAACATGAAATAGGTTTCAAAATATTTTACCTCAACAGAAATGCAAAGGAAACTGACAGTAAGTCATTTACAGCTGCAGTCATAGCATATAAGATGAATAGTAAGACACCTGGCTGATGGTCTCGCTCCCCTTCTGTTTATCAATTAAGGCACATTCAGCTACAGTGTGCATATAATTCTCAGAGTCACGAATGATAGATTTGCCCCTTCAAGAAGGCCCCTGTATTCTTGTAATAAAGAATTTTAGGAGACTGACAGTACAGTGATTGTGTGAAGTATTTTGATTATGCAGTATACTCCAGATTATCTGTGCTAATGAAGTTGAAAAGACACACAGGTAATGGAAATGTACTCATAGTCTCTAATTTATTTACTTGTATAAAATGTGTAAGACATACATAAAAGTGCACTGAATATAAGATATGTCCTTAATGTTTCTCTACAACATTCTATCAAAAAATGTTTTTCCATAATAAATATTGAGTGAGTTATGGTGAAGATACAAGCAGAAACACACAAAATATAAATGGTCATTATAATTATCCAGTCAAAAAGAAAATGTAGGTGGTGTAACAATGATTCCTATAATTCTTAAATATAAAATTTCATAATAATTTGTTCGCTGGTTGTCAAGTTTGTTCATGCATGCAGATGGGCAGTTGGGTAGACTGCATGAGATTATGGTTGTGAATTCCCAAGGAAGGTGCACAAACACACCAGATACTTTGTGCATAAATAATCAGCAGTATACTGTATTATCCTTTATGCATTATAACTTACATTCAAAAGCTGTATGTTGATTTTATATATACATGTATATTTAGGAGTTAGAATGTGCACAAGAATTCAGTATCTTTTCTGATATTTTATTTGGTTGATGGATATCTAACATGGATGCTGTAGTAGCTCAGGCTGTATTATGTCAAATGATAGGATTTTAGTGAATAATGAATTGAAAGGATGTGGAAGGAAATTGTTATGGCCTAATTTGAGGCACTGTCTATACATTTGCCTGTATGGATTGAAGAAAACCATGAAAAGCTCAGCCAGGATAACCATTCTCTGGGCTGAAATTTATTCTAAGACCTCTTCAACACTAAGGGAATGCCCACATATGAAATTCAGCAGCAACTTTTTTGTTTTGGAGAACCAGGTATATATTGTGACAACAGTGAATTTATGGAGCAGTTGCTGTCCAGACATTTATAACTGCTTATGTTCTTGAAGGTAGTTGTCTGTTCATTCATTATTTTATAGCAGCACCACCTCAAAATCACTGCATTCACTTTCTTTTCAACTTTTCTGCACTGTACTGAGCAGATCTGAAAACTGATTAACTTAAAAAATAACTAGCTGAGTGACTAAATAAGTCACTAATTGGTTCACTGATGTTCTGTATATACTAACTGAACTGACTGACTTGCAACTCACTCACTGAACTCACCAACTTCTGAACTCTACTTCACTGAACTGACTGACTTGCAACTCACTCACTGAACTCACCAACTTCTGAACTCTACTTCACTGAACTGACTGACTTGCAACTCACTCACTGAACTCACCAACTTCTGACCTCTACTTCACTGAACTGAACTAAACTGGCCCTCATGACAACTTAAAGCCTCATTTATGATGCATTACCCTTCACAAAATTTATAAGGAGTTTCCAGAATATCCCTGAAGTGCAAAAGGTCTCAGTATTTTGATTGAATGAGAGGTGCATGCAGGCCAGACATCATGATCCCACCAGACCCTCTCTCAGTAACAATATGTTCACAAGATAATCGTTATTTCAGTGCTCCTTATTTTAAGATAGTGCTGGATGAAATATTCCATGTTCACTAGTTGATAATAATGATGAAACATTTAGAAATTGGTGGTAACTTTATCAGGAAATCCCTTAACTGTGTCTCAAATTCACATCTACTTAATGAGAGGTCTCTGTACTCACCACAGGACAACTGAAAATAATACATACACAAAGGCAAAACTGCTTTGATAATAGTAATGTAGCATGTCTGCTGAAAGCTAGATAGTTTAATCAGAAGAGACATTCGTTATTAGGTTATGACACAATAAACAGTGACACAACAGTGTAGTACATCATGCCATGCATCATCACCAATGGAAGTACTGCTTGGAACAGTGTTCTCTGTGTCTGCGCCATTAGTGACCCTATGCAACAATAGAGTAATTGTGGGAAGCCATGTTTTCTATTAGGTCAATCCTTAGGCAATATCACTAGCACCAATGAGTGTAGCCAGTCAGTCAAGAGTCTAGATAATGTCTGCAGGCAGACAGACCAGTCTGAGTCTGACGTGAGACAGTTGAATGAATAAATAAATGTATGAGGGATAGGCCTCCTCGGCCCTTGCACCATGACCTACAGTGGTCTATTGTGCTTCCCCTTTTGAAATAGTCACTTGGTTCCATAAAGTATTGACCCAAGTTCGTGAGACAGTTACTCCTAACGGAGGTGCAGGAGGCAGAGGAGCCTCTATCAGTGTAAATTTTGCATAACAACACCAAGTCTTGTTGTGAGATAGACACCAGGCAGCAAGGACAGATGCTGTTGAACATGGAAGCTGAAGAATCTATGACACTGGAAGCTACAGGAAGATCGAAAAGTTGCGCACGTCGAACTAGAAGTTGTTATAAATTGTATTGTAGCTAATATAATTATATATCCTACCACTAGATGGTACTGTAGGAGTACTAACAAGTAGAAACGCCATCTGTCGTGTATCGGTCATATGACATATGCAGTATAGCTTTGTTTATTGCTTGACAGATATGTCGTTTTCCCAAGATCAACGAGTTTTCATTGTGGAACATTATTTCGCCAGTCATTTTTATGCTCATGTCACAGATGAGTTTCGTTGGGAATATCTGGATTCTGCAGTTCTAACAATTCGATGATAATGAGAATAATCAACCGATAATCAATATATTTTTTTAAACAACAATGAACATTCTAGTGTACCAAGACATCATTACACAGTTTATTGCGCTTCTTGAAGTTGATGAACGTAAGTGTTGGTTGCAGCAAGACGGTGCCACATGTCACACATCTAATGAAACCATGCAGTTCTTGCGCGAGTTTTTCAGTGACAACCTCATTTCGAAAGGACTGTGTGTAAGGTTATAAACATTAATAGTAAGTGCTGTATATCTTGTAGTTTGTGCATTAAACCAGCAAAATATAATTGCTTAGTGTGATTTGCGCGACTTCTCGATCTCCCTGTATTACCAGACAGCTGGTGAAGACACAGCAGACTGAGAAGACTTCGTATGTGCTGTAGTGAACTGTAGAATGCGTGAATTAGAGACAGCATGATAGTTACTTGTAGTTATGATCTGTAAGTGTTCAATAAAACCAATTACCAATCCAAACCCCATGTATAGTCACTCAATCACATGAAAGTAATATAAGATCTGTTGTTTGATAATTCTTACTTTGTCTCAATGTAGGTTCACGCAGAGTAATGGAACAACATGGGCACCAGTTTCATCTTACGCAGTCCAAGAAAGTCATGAAATCCGTGAAAGGCAACCTAATACAGCACTATTATGCCTCATTTTGGCTCTTGGGACTTTCTTTATTGCATATTACTTGAGGCAGTTTAGAAACAGCAAGTTTCTAGGTAGAAGTGTAAGTATCTCTCAGTCAGTTAGCTATTACAAGAAAATTGACACGTTTGTAGATGTCCCTATATTCTGTTGTTATGCATTTTGCCTGCTCTCATTTTGGCCCTTTTTTAGTTTTATCATGTGGGAACTACTGTTACAGTTCTTCACAGAAGTAAATTTCAGAATGCAAGAGAACTTGTGCAGATTGGATGAAGTGACCTGCATTGGCATGTTCATGTAGATAGATTTTTAGTGAAAGTTTACTTCCTGTCAAATATTAGTACCTGAGGGTATGTTCATTTGATACAATGATTGGTTGTCACAAATAAAGAGAGGGATCCTGGCTTCTGTCCTCAATCATGGTAAGTAAAATTTGCATCAGCAATGGTTGTTACACTGTCAGTGAAAATACATAGGAATGAAAAGAAAAACTGTTGAATTCAAAAGAAGTGTGGATGTTTGGGTGCATACTTCAGTATTATCAAAGAGTTACAGACTGAAGATGCTTAACAGTTTTTGGTACTTTACAAGAATGTCAGCCTGTTGAAGTGCTTTTACCTGTGGATATTACGGGACTAGTTGTAGCAAAAAAGACAAGCCAATGTTCCTGCAGGGGAACATATCTTAGCCACACTGATTTTTAGCTTAAGGTATGCAAAGGATTTGTATTTTAATTTCATTCTAAATTTTTTTAACTACCAATTGTAAAAGAAGCATTAAACTGAGCAAAGACATATTTTTATTTTTTCTCTGCATTTATAGTGTAGGTAATTCCTGTAGCAACCTTCAGTATTTATTCTGTATTATTTATTGCTACAGATGAATAGTTACAGAAGTGGCCACAGTTATTTTGCTTGCTTGAAAGGAGAATACACTGTCTTAAAGTAAGATCTTGGAACATGTTTATGATTATAGGTTTATTATGTTAACCCAGACTTACAATACAATAATACCAGAAATTTCAAATAAAATAAGAACCTCTATAAATGAGTTGGAACCCAACAGGCAATGGAAGCAAACAGGTTAGCATAAGCTAAAATAAAGACTACAAATCCATCAACACAATTATAGTCAGATCATGGAAGTACGTGAATAGGAACACAACGTAATTTAACAAGATAATACAAGAAAACATCAAAATGGTACTGAGCTCTATAGCCATCCTAAGAAGAAAACATTAAATGAACTTAAGAGCAAAGCAGCCAATGATGATCAGACATCAGCATATTATAGACCACATAGATGGTAACAATGGTGTTGTATATAGAGCCTTTAGGATCAATACAATCACTGTAAGTTGAAATGCAGTCACACTGATGGTGGAAAGCCTGGCATGACCAACAGAGGAAATCTGTACATAATTTTAATTTTATCTATACTAATGGGGGAATCAACCACTAATAATATTTATAATATGGTATTTCCATGGGTTCAATATTTTAATAAACCCATTAATATATATGAGTATTTTTTAATGTTTTAAGACTCTTAATAATTTTTAAATACTTGTTTGATACATTTTTAAAGCAGTAAAAAAACACGACCACTTAATCTGTGCATATGAAGCTGATTAACAAAAGGGAAAGAAGCACACCATGTTTTTTTTTTGTTGTTTATTGTAAAACACAATGATAAGTACAGTATATGGGTCCATATAAGGGGCATAATTCAATAGTATAAGGTTTGTTAATGTATCGCTCCGTGAGCTGAAACTTTTTGCAATACTGTATGACCAATAAACTCAGTTATATACAGTGAAATGTGAGCGAGGTTTTTGGAGTATTGTTGTGTTTGACAAGACAAACAAAACTTGTATATAGTAGAAAATAAACACCCCGAATGAACATACAGTATATTATAATATGAAGTAATCTTCTTCCTTTAACATTGCTACTTTTATATGGGTCATCCTACAGTCAAGCCTCTCTGTATGTAAAAATATAACTTTATTTTTTCTTATATGTAATCAATTTATCACTACAAGAATTGGAAGTAATAATTTTAGGGTAATATGCTAATAATAATTTAAGAAGAAATAATGTAGATGCACAGCATTATGCTTCATTCATTCATTCATTCATTCATTCATTCATTCATTCATTAGTACTCTGTCAGATGACAGGTCCACCTTCCCTTCCAAAACAGTTCCTCCACTTAATGCGATCTAGAGCTTCTCACATACATGGTTTCTCTGTTTTTGGAAAGAGACCATCCAGGAAAAGTGATAATGTGGTAGTTTTTCCATTTGCTTTCCACATCGCAGTACAACAGCCATTCAAACCCCTCTGGTCACACCTGTTACTATACGAGCTTGAACCATCGCGAGCTTATTGGCTGATTATTCACAAATCTATTGTATGCAGTGATTATCTGTTTCCCATAGTGTCAGCTGATCAAGAAAAATGTCCATGAAGGCTGATACAGGGGGTTGGATTTCTATGTAAGGACTAAAGAGAAACAGATAGTGAATGGAAAGTGTATTGAAAGAACCGAAGGAATTAAATTTTTCTCTGTTACTTCTAAAGTGCTATTCTAATGAGGTGCATTAGTTTTATTCTCAACAAGATGGTTTACAGTTTATGTAGCTCCAGAGCGTGAAACTCTGTGTTAAATTCATCTGGTTGATTGATCAAGATACCACACTGTAGCCTTAACTTCTTTTCTTTTATTTTCTTTATTTTGTATGTGTGTGTGTGTGTGTTATTTAGCCTGTATAATTAACTTCTGTATGGCGGAAGTTAGCACAGTAGATATAGCAACTGGCTATATGCTGGATGGCCAAATGTTCAGAGTTCAAGTCCTGGTAGGGGAAAGATTTTCCTCCTCTCCACATCATTTAAATTGGTTCTGGGGTCCACCCAGCCTGCTATCCAATGGGTACCAGGAGCTCTTGTCTTGGGGATAAAACAGCCAGGTCGTGAAGCTCACCGCTCACCTCCAACTAATGCTGAGGCCAAGAATATGCGGATTATACATCCACTCCTCAATATGTCTTCATGGCTTAGTGCTTAATTAGTTAAATGCTGGGACAACTTTACCTGTACAGTGAAAGTTTCCCTTTGCTATTTTATACCAAATTGTTTTATTAGTGTTATTAGTACTGTCAGAGAATATATTATTTTCAGTAACTAAAATATGATGCTGATTTTTCATGCCTGTGTTTGTAAATTGTCTATCTTCGTCTGCATTTTACTGTTGCTTGTCCTGAACACCTATTCCATTTCTGCCAGAGTTGTGGCCTTCCCTGTCTTGGTCTCATTATCCTTCGGGTTTACAAGCCATAATAATGGAAACTGCCCGCACAATTTTCTTAACCTAAAAACTTCTTTCCTTGTCCATGTGTGCTTCTTAGACATGTTTACATGTCTCCAGCCAGTTACTGAAGTGTTGAAAGCAGTTTTTGATATCTAATTTCCTTCCAGAGATCCGGGTTATCTCAATCCAGGGCAGATCATAGTAAGGTTTTTTCATGGGTTTTGCCAGTCCATCAAAGTAAATTCCATGAAAAGTCATGGCCACTTCCTTCCATATTCTTTGTAATTCATTCATTCACAAATTATCATACTATTTTAGCTTACATAATATAGTTAGCTGAAAGGTTTCATGAAGTAAACCAGGAATTAATCAATATAAGACAATATAATTGGCATGGAAGTCAGTGGCATTTTAATATGTTAACTTTTTAAAGCATCAACTACAGAACATACTTACCATTCATCTACTATGTTAGAATGTCATCTGTTGGTACCCTCAGTGTAGTTATTTTCAGTGATAATATTTTTTGTTGTTGTAAGGTTTGCAGCCAACATGGGGCCATCATATCCATATGATCAGCCAGTATAAAGAAATTATGTCTAAAGAAGGCACAAGAAATTTCATATGATGGATTGCTATTGCAGTTTTAATAACATAAGTTGTACAGTCATATTGTAGATGACTGCCCAGCACTGTGAAAGAAGTGAGGAAGACTGTTGCCCTTCCTCTTTTCATTTATCTACTCATTTGTTTCTCACTCTTCTCATACAGTCACAACATTTTTATGGTAATATCTGTCCCTCCACTGCTGTATAATGACAAACCATGAATGACTGCACATACAGGCTCGGCGAGCATTGGGTGACTTTGGAGTACCAATTGCGATCATCACAATGGTGACTTTGGACTACCTGGTACCAGAGACATATACAGAAAAGCTGCAGGTGCCTGAGGGTTTGTCTCCTTCAAACCCAACTGTACGAGGCTGGATCATCTCACCAGATGTTACACATATTTGGATTATATTTGCTGCTGCTGCTCCAGCACTCTTAGTCTACATCTTGCTTTTCATGGAGACACACATCTGCGAGTGAGTGTTCAATATCATGAAGCTCTTCTTAGAGATACACTTTCTCTAACAGTTCATAGTAATAAAAACACTGAAATATGTTACAGCTGGTGTTCATCCTTTCCTTCTATAGCCATTTGTCTCATCCTCTAGCTTTCACAAATTTAACATATTGATAGAGGAATTTTAAAGAAACACTAGAACAGGAATTACCACATTCTGGTGCCGTCTTTTGACTGAAATGTAAGTTAAAAATAAGAGATTCATTTCTTGAGGATAAGAAAATGTGGAATTGTTGTGAATGTAGATCAGAATGATGAGCTAGTTGAGCTCTTCAAGTCATTTGTAATGTTTTGTTCTGTAATATTTCACCTGCACACAGTGTTGCATCTATTCTTCTTTTTCTCCCGAATTGTCGAAGTGTAGTAGGCCCTTGGCGCTTGTTCCAGGTTTTACTGCTGACTTGACCATTCAAACAGACAATTGAATATGGGCACCTGGAGTGTGAAAGGTCTGACTCATGAACTTAAGGAACTATTTAGTTTGCTGTGACCTAAATACATTACTGCTTTAGAATTTCAAAAAGTAAACAAGAAGTATTTTTTGAAATTATTTTAAGATTCTTAATTGAATATGTTTTATTATAAAATAAAGTAATTTAGTTATCACATACTAATTAAAGTCAGTAATGAATTTCAATTTGAAACTTTAATATTTTTATTTTATTTTATTTTATTTTCTCCTTACTAAAGGAATGTGTGGTCACGCCATAGCTCAAGCGGTTAGTTGCTGGCTTCCCATCGCAGCGGCATGGGTTCAGTCCCGGGTCTGGTCAAGTGGGATTTGTGGTGGACAAAATGGCCCTTAGGCAGGTTTTCTCCGAGTACTTCGGTTTCCCCTGCCAATCTTCATTCCACCAAATACTCCACAATCACCCTCACCTATCATCTGGGGCTGGTACAATAGGCCAGCAGTGGCCGCAGTACAAGGGACTTAGTCCCACCCCACTAGCAATAAAAATGAAGGAATGTGTGTGTGTTTATGCTTGTGCTCATGTACATACACATGTGCATATGTGTGTGCATGTGTGAAAGAGAGAAATATTTGTTATTGGTGTTCTCAAATTTTGACATAGGGGCAGCCCTTTATATCTGTATGCTGATAAATATTTATTGACCCTTCAGTTGCTAGAAGCTGTTAGTCTCTCAGCTTATTAAGAAATTTCCTGCCTCTTATAAAGCCTGAAAGTGTATTACTCTGTTTTCAATAGCCTTCCAAGTTGTAGGCCATTTGTAACATCTTGTAAAATGTTTTTTTGTAGGATGAGGATGATATGTTGATGCCCCACCCAACCCCCAAGCTGTAGGATTACCCTCAGTTGTTTGTCTGTGACTGTCCTGTATCCTTCTTCACCTGCAGCCTGAGGATGTGCCATTCTGCGGTGACAAAGAATGAGCTTAACAGGGCCTCGAAAGTGCATGATGTGTAAAATAGAGCAAACCAAATGGGCTAAATTTAGTTGCTATTATGTATCTAGGTATAGGGGAATGTAACATTATACTTCTCCTCTAGGTTGATCATCAATAAAAAAGAACGTAAACTGAAAAAAGGATCTGGTTTTCATCTGGACATTGTGATAGTCTGCATTGCAAATGTTGGCTGTGGACTTCTTGGAGCACCTTGGCAATGTGCTGCTACTGTCCGATCTATTGCACATGCTTCAGCAGTCACAGTTATGTCACGCACTCATGCTCCGGGTGAGAAGCCCCACATCATTGAAGTAAAAGGTAAGTTAATAAATATCATCATCATCTGTAATCTGTCAAGATGAGAGGTCCACAGTCTCTTCCAAAATAGTTCCTCCACTTGATGCGATCTAGAGCTTTCTCCTTCAAATGAGAATATCCTCTTCTGTCCCCAAGGTCATCCAGCATCTTCTTACATCTTCTTCCTCGTCTTCTGGTCACTTCTATCCGCCCCTCTATCTTTCCTTCAATAACTTCTTTTAGAAGGTAGTTACCATGTAAGATATGACCAATCCAATTAGCCTTCTGTTTTCTTATTTCGTGTAGGATATTCCTCTGCTCACTGACTCTAAATAACACTTCGTTTCTTACATAATCGGTCCAACTGATCTTCTCCATCCTTCTCCAACACCACATTTTGAAGCTTTAATAAATATAATGTGTCAAAATTAAAATTGATTTCTTAGTGCAAATTGGATGCCAAGTTTTTGTGATCAGGATGACATGGGTTTGATTCCCAGCTGAGGCAGGTTGTTTTCTCTCTACCACTTCATTCAGACTGGTTTTACTTTCCACGCCATCCTCCTGTCTAATTTAACTAATGGGCTTGGAGGGGGGGCAAAATAACTGGAGCATGGAGCTGATAACTCATGTCAATCTAGTGTCAAGATTAGGAAAAGAAAGCTCTACATTTCCAATCTTCCATATATCTCTATCATGATGTGATGCTTATTTGAGCACAGGGCTAATCTTAGTCATTATAATCTTGTAAATGTTTAGCCATCATTCCATATTTTTGCACTTAGGAGTCTTTATGGACTCTGAACCTTGATGTGGTCATAACAATACTCCTGTTCACAAAGTATTATTGTCATTGATAAGGGAAACAGAAAATCCTGAGTTGGATTTGGCCAGCCTTTATCTTTCTTCCCTCATTTTCTCACATTTATATTCTGAAAATAAATTAATTCATACTTAATTTCAGTTTTTAAGTACCAGCCCTTTTGCACAGAAATTCGGTTTCTTACCCATGCACTGCAAGGTACCTAACGGTCTTTTAGTTTTGATTGAAGCTTGTGTCCTTTCATACATTCAAAAGTAGAATGATAATGGGACATAACAGTGCAAGGGTGTATCAGATGTTCCTTAATGTGTCTGTGTAAAGTACTCTGTTAGTAAAGGTGATTGAACTGATATAACAAATTATGGGCCGATATCTTTATTGACATCTTTTTCTAAGATTTTTGAAAGAATCATATATGATAGATTACAAAATCATCTGGACATTAATAATATATTGGCACATGAACAACGTGGTTTTTGAACTAAATTATCCACTGAATCAGCCATTTATGACTTAATAAATACCATTCTAACAGAAACAAATAATAAACTTGTTGTGGGAGTCCTGTTCTGTGACTTGACCAAGGCATTTGATTGTGCAAATCACACAATACTTCTTTCTAAGCTTGAGTTCTATGGTTTTAATGGTATAGCAGGAAAGTTAATTAAAACTTATTTGAGGGATAGACAGCAAAGAACAGTACTAAATAGCAATATTACAAGTGGTGTTTCAGAGTGGCAAAGTGTAAAACAGGGCGTCCCTCAGGACTCTGTTCTGGGGCCATTGCTCTTTTTGATATATATTAAGATTTGCTAAATATAATAAATAAAGAATCAAAACCAATTTTATTCGCTGATGACACCAGCATACTGTGCTGCAAGTCAAATCTTAAAGAACTTGACATCATCCTAAAAGAAACTCTTTAATCAATCAATAAATGTTTCTCTATAAACTCGCTCATATTGAATTTAATTAAAACGAGTTGTGCCCAGTTTTTAACAAAACCAAATGTACCAATAAACTTAAATATTAAACATGGTGATATCCAAATTAATAATATGAATACTTTGAAATTCCTTGGCCTGACAAGTGATAGTACGTTAACATGGAAGGAACATATTAAACAAACAACCAACAAATTGAGCTCGGCTTGTTATGCTATAAGAGTTCTAGTCTCAATATTGTCCCTAGAGAGCTTATTGATGATGTACTCATATAATGACTATATTCATTCTATAATGTCATATGGCATAATATTCTGGGGAAATTCGACATATAGTACCCAAATCTTTAAAATTCAAAAAAGAATAATTAGGGTACTAATGAAAGCAGGAAATAGGGACACTTGTTGGCCTCTGTTTAAAATATTAAACATTCTTCCATTTTATTCACAGTACATATTTTCAATATTGGTCTTCATAGTTAAAAACATGGACAAGTATGTAGCAAGTCAGATATTCATAACATTTATACTCGACAAAGATTCAAATTACATTATCCAACTTATAAATCAACCAGGCCTCAAAAGGGAGTATCCTACACTGGGATTAGAATATTTAATAAATTACCACATAGTATAAAAAATCCTCTTGTGGTGGGTGATAGATCTTGGGTCTTGTATACTTTGTTCCTATTGCTTAAATGTAATATTGAAGATCCTGGTGGTCCAGCATTTTGTGAAGTCACCATCACACTAGATGCTTTCTAGCTGTGTTGCTCCCTCACATCCAGGAAGGCTTTTGCTGTGAAAGGTGGAAGACTAAAAAAGGTGGGTGGGAGAGAGGGATTGTTAGAGGACATCAGGAAAAGAAACATTACTTTTATGGCTGTGATTCTTGTTTAAAATGTGATGAATAATATATTTCATAAATCATAATTCATTTCAAATATGTTTTTACTTCCAAAAAGTTGTGCCATTTTCATAAAATTCTTCCCTGTTTGCTTCCAGTTTAGTATCACTCCTTTTTTATGCACTTCATAAGATATACAAAATATTCAGTATTCTCATTCCCTATTCTAAAACATCCTCTGACACTGAAACATGCCTGTTATCCTTTTGTAAAATAATATATCATGTCTTTTTCCAGAACAACGTCTGAGTGCTCTGTTGGTTTCTGTGTTTGTGGGTGTGTCAGTTTTGATGGCGCCGCTACTTCGTTTGGTACCAATGTCTGTACTGTTTGGAGTATTCCTTTACATGGGAATTTCATCGACAAATGGAATTCAGTTCTTTGAGCGGTTTAAGTTGTTCTTCATGCCTGTGAAACATCACCCACAGGCATCCTATGTCCGGAGGGTAAGCAGCATGCATAATTAAAATGTATGAGAACTTTTGTGAAAATAAAAGTTGTAAATATGGTAACTAAAAAAATGGCATCAAATATTGTAGGACAGGCATACTTTTCAAATTTCGCTATTTTAAACCTTCCCCCTCCACCCATTAGCAGCAGGTTTATGATTCATATAAAGTTCCCTGTCACTGGAAATTCTCAACCTTTTTTGGGCTGTGAATGCACTCTGAAAGTACAGCTCTTGTTCTATCACAAAATCTCTTTCATATTGCTAGCAATATTGTAAGTATTGTTTATATTAATGGCTTCAAAAATGTTACTAGGTGCCACAAATAAAAAAAGAAAATTATGTGTTCCTCCCTAACACAGATACATGGATGCACATGAAATAAATGCAAAAATCCATAAAATAAATGCCACATACCATGAACTCCTATCATGAAATGCTATGAATGAAAATGATTGCACCAGTGAAAAATATCTGTCTTCTTTCAAAAGTTATCTGTGTAGTGAACAACAACATTGCCTAGTCACCAACATTACATATTACAAGAATATGAAGAATTAAAAGTCTTACTACACATTTTTTTTTACTTCATATAAAATGTTTGCCACATTACACTCTTCAGCCAAAATTAATTCTTTTTATAACAGCAGGAACTATGTAACATAACATGTCACTTACTTGGCAGTCACTGTTTCAACTTATGAAATTTAAGTACGTGAGTCTTGAATTTGCACTATTCACCTCAGATCTCAGTCACTCACTGTTACAGGCAAGGAATGGAGTTGTGAAAGCATCAGCATTCAAACTGTTTTGCTTATACTGTGAAATAATTTTTTACCCCGACAAAAGTAAAGGACACCAGGTACAGTAAGTAATACTTACATATTGTGACGTTTTGCGCTATGGAGGACACCCCCTCCCTCCCCCGGCAGTGATGTGGCAGCTCTGGCCACGGTGACATAGCAGGTGAGTCAGCGCTCCCCCCCCATGCTACATGGCACCGCTTCCTACTGTGAAGAGAGAGACAACGCCGCTGTTGACACGGGCAACAGGCAACAGCGAACGGAATAAAAAGCCGGCTGAACAGTAAGGCAACACAGTTGGAATCTAGCAGCAGTTACGGAAAGAAGAACCGGACGCATGTGATAATCAGTGATAGTTTGTGATAACTGAGAAGTAATTGGGAGTGTGTAACACAGTGACACTTATATAGCTCCCATACTGTGAATACATGTAGACTACTGAAGATAGAGTGAAGAGATTATTGCGAATTGGGTTATAAAGTGTGAAACCCCGCAACAGTGTTATAATTAATTGTATTTACAACTTGTAGGTTGTTAAATAAACCAATTAACAATCCGAACGGCATCTTCAGTGACTAAACATGTTACAATATGTTGGAGTTATATCACAGAACTTCCCAGTCATGGTACTGAAGAAGTAAAAATGTATCAGAACCTTGTTTCTTGCTTCATTTTATCTTTTTCTGCAACCCATTACTAGTAAGTGTAAGCCAGGGAAGCAGAACCTACAGACTAATGAGTGGATGCAATATTGTTTATAAAATTCTGTTATTTCAGGTACATTCAAAGAAAATGCATCTTTTCACTCTAATTCAACTCCTGTGCCTCGCAGTTCTTTGGGTAGTGAAGTCAACAGAAGCATCTCTAGCCTTTCCTTTCTTTCTTATTCTGATGGTTCCACTTCGAACCCAGCTCCGATTCTTCTTTACACCCGCTGAACTACGAGCTGTGAGTACATGTTAAATATAATTACTATTTTAATCCAAACATTTAGTGGTAAAAGTATTTTTATTTTATTTCATACTCAAAATAACCACTTTAATTACATGTTTTGGGTACCTATCCAAGCATGGGCTTGTTCGTGAATATATGCTTCAGTCATGCTCCTTACTGTACAATTCATTTAAATTTGCAACAAGTGAAATTAATCTTAACCTCTGATAATATATTACTCAAATATAAAAAGTAAAAGTTCCTGTGAATAGTTGAAGCAGAACAAATGTCTTCCTCGGGGAACAGGATTTGTAATGATCATATCAGAAGTTGAAATCTGGGACATTTCTTCAATTCTGAATCAAATGGCCAGAACCGTGGGGAAGGATATTAGAACTGGGACATGTGGTCACCCTGAATATAGAGGGTAACCATTTAGAAGATGACTGTTAAGCTGGAACAAACAAAGAGGAGGAAGGCAAAGAAGGAAGGAGGCAGGAGGAGGAGGATGAGGAGGAGGTGGTGATGGTGGATGATGATGATGATGATGATGAATCTAGAGTGGTACGATGGGCTGGTTATATGGTTAGGTTGGGGGAGATGTGGAAAGCATACAGAATTTTGGTCGAGAACAATCTTGTGAAGTAGCTGTCTGGGAAACAGAGAAATAGCTAGGATGAAAACAGTAAAATGAATGTTACGGAGACAGATTGTGTGAATCAGAGGTAGATGGCACTGACTCAGGATCATATCCAGTGACAGGCCTTGGTGTTAGCTGTGTTGAACTTCTTGATTCTGTGCTGGTTAGTTACGTGTTTTCTGTAAACAGTATCAGATGGGATACCTCTATCCCTACTTTTTCTGCAACTTTTTAAGTTTATATAAACATTTTTTTTGGAAACTTAACTGCTCATTAAGGGAAGGATTATTGTATATAAGAGCAGAACAATAGTCATAACACTTCACACTGTAACTTGTGATTTGTGTATCTGAATCTGAAATATTCTATTAGATGATGCTGTCTCATGCTGTTTATAATTGAAACATGTATTTCAGCTGGACAGTGAAGAGGCAGATTCAGAGTCTTTGGAGGATGAGCCAGATTTCTATACAGAAGCACCACTGCCAGGTTAAATGGCCTTCCATCAATAACAGTATATCCATCCTGGTACCACAATGAAGAAGGAATGAAGAATTGTGTGTACCCTGTAAAGGAAAGTAGTACTTCCAGCTTTTTGTAAAGTACCTATTATATTCTCTGATTAAAAATGAAGACAGTTGACTCATGTTGAAAGTAATGAATTGGAAATTTTCTGGAAAAGTTCTTCATATTTTCAATATAAGTGCCTTTCAAGTAGTACTGTTGAATTATTTGGCTGGATACTGCAAGATTTTTATGTGGACGAATCTTAGTATATAACAGACTGGTAGATTATGATAATAGTGAGAATGTTGCAATTGATTTACTTGTACGGCTCAACATTTTCAGTCTACATGTCTTGCTGTCTGAATGCCAGCAGTGCTGACACAGCAGCATGGTTGCAGACTGCTGATTTTTATTGTTGAAGCAAAATGATCCCAGTTTGAAGTCTGTGCTACCTGAGGATGTGTATGTCTCTTGGTTGCTCATTAACCCTTTAAAGACTGAATTTCCTTTAAATGATGTGTAAAAATTCAGTTTGTACCTCACAGAAGACACATTACGTCTCCTCCACAAAGACCAACAGTTTGATGTTGTTTAGGGAAACAGTTGCTGTTTATTGTGAGAACTACACAAAACACGCAGACGCACTCTGTGGGCAGAATGCAGAGTTTTAGTATGTTAAAGCAGGTGGTACATATAGTAATCAGTGGGCTTTAAAGGGTTAATACTGGTAAAGCCTGAGGGTTGTTGAGAAGAGTTTAGAATTATCTGTTTATATGTGCTGTTTTCCAGAGTTCTGCTCACATAGGAAATAGTGAAAGAAGCAGAGAAAGTATTTTGATCTTATAAAATACTAACATAAAACTCTGTTACCTGTTACAGTTATTATATATGTAAGATAGGAATTCTTTTGAATGAGACAATGATTCATTACACAAGTAATTATACACTGAGGTAAATTATATGTGATATTATGTTTGTCTGGGAGCCCATTTGTTCTGTAAACAAATGCAGCCATAGTGATGGTTGATGGTCTAGTAAGAGATTAGATTTATTATAGTTGCAGCAAGAATAGAAACATTGTACTACAACTGTGAAGAAATCTCCACATGTATTTTTAAAATAGTATACATTAATCCTTTGCACAATGAGAGAGAGATAGACCAATATATACACTCATAGTAATGCAATATTAATGGAAATTACAAATTTAGATAATCCTAAGTTCTCTTTTACAGCATCATATGAAAAAATGGCCGTTCTCTTTCTAGAGGTTTCAGGAATGTATTATTTCCATTGTTAACCCATAGCAGTAAAATATTATGCATAATGGTTTCAGACATGCTCACACTTGATGAAACTTGGCTAGCTGTTGAGAAAAATGTAATTAGAAGTCAGATCTAAGTCTTGTTCCTATTAAACAGCAGTAGACAAGGTTATCCACTTCTTTCCTTAGAGTTTCCAGAAATTAGTGCCCTTTAATTATATCAAATAGCAGAACTTTTTTTGATAGTTGAAAAAAGCCCAGTAATTAAAAGAGTCAGAATTTTATCTCTAGTGGCTCTAACAGTGAAGCTTTAAATCTTTTAGTCTATATCTGGAAGATAGTATACATATTTCCAAAATAAAATTCAGTATTTTAATGATCCTTCTATCTGTGATTCTTATAAAGCTTAAGATATAACTGTACAAAATTATTTTGTAGCAAGGAGTAAAAACCAGAAGTATTGTGTTAGTGCAAATTTTTTTCAGTATTGGTTGTGAAGAGGTGGTTGAAACATTTTTTAAAGGATAGAGTGCGTGAAGGATAGAGGAATGTGTATATTTTTCTTTTTGATCTACTTGTTGAATATAGAAGCATATTTTAAACTGAATGATATACGATATTTTTGAGCAACATACTTTTGATTTATACATTCAGACAAGTCACTAGTAATATTGGGTCCACATGTGTTGACATTAGATATTTGTTCCTGTTTCTTAACACCTGTACTCTTGGTCCCCTTAGAGGAAGTAGTGGTGCATTTATGAATGAGGAGAGACACAACACAAGTTTTAAGAGAAAGAAGAATACATATTACATAAGGACGAATTGAATCCTTCTTGTGAAAGAAACGTTCTATTGACAGTTACGAGTTTGCATGCAGGAGGGATCAGCCTTGAATAATGAGAAGATGAAGAAATAATAAGTACATGCTATCAAGTTTAGGTGAAAGAAATAGTGCACTATGCTATATATACATATATGCTATATGCTATAATTTGGGAGTGACCATTTTCAAACTATTCAGGGGCCACATTGCACCCTAAGTACCTACTCATAGGCTGCATTGTAAAAAAAATGTATTTTCTCAAGTATACAGATACAAATGTCTGCCCTTCAGTAATCACACGCATATGAATAAGAATTGGACCCATAAAGAACAAAACAATTATGTAAATTTAATGTTGCTAGGTGCTTAACAATTAGCCACAAAAGTTTGCTAGATCATATTGATACTACATATTGTCATGTGAAATCTGTTGAAAAAATTGTGTGAAATACTTCGTAAGAAATTTTAATGAAGTGTTTTAACAAGATTCACTGCCTTTTTTTTTTAAGATGAAGGAAGTGTTAACATATACAGATATTCTGGGGAATGAAGGTATATTCTTGCAGGCCACACAAAACAAACTGGTGGCTGTATGTGGCTCAAATGCTGCCACTGGGACAGTCCTGATATAGGATAACTGTAATTTAAAGTGGGACTTGCACAGAAAAAATTGAATGTGAGGAGGGGTTTCAGAATTTCACAGTTACAGCTGTTGTATTTGACACTTCCTACTTCTGTATTTTCTCTGTATAAATGGTCTCTTTCTGTGAGGATTTTCTCATTAACTTTTTGCCAGTAAAGTTAGTGGTGCTGATGAAAAGGTGTTGTTTTGCAAAATTATGATCAGTATCTAGAATGTGATTTGTGGTCTCAACAGTCTTACTGTATCCATTACTTAAGGAAAATGTGCTGAAAGTTTTTTTTTAATTAAATAATGGCAGCTGTTTTAACAAATTTTGAATATATGTTTAAATTTCTTCATACACAAAATTCAGATCAAATTAAGATCTACAACTTTGTTTCAAAAACGTTTGGTACAGTGTAAATTAATAGATTATAAGGAGTGATTCTTATTACTATGTAGTATGAAAAACTTTGTAACAGCAGATTTATTATTTTTTGGGGGGGGGGCTCAGGGTTTTCTTGCTCTCTGTATTTCAGGTGTATTAATCTGAATTGAATTGAATTGAGTTGAATTTATTTACATTCTATAAATCCTAAGTAGGTTAGTACCTTTGGATACAGAACAAGTCAAAAGGTTACATACATAAGTACATGCAATTTTAGCTTAGCTCAGCTTTAGCTGAGTAGTTGTATACGCAATAAGTTAACGACATGGTTAGTGTTACATGCAGAATTGCAAATAACAACTTTAGAAAGCTTATGTACCCTGAAATGGAGTACATTTATATATTTTTGTTGTTTCTTGAAGTAATTTGTAGACTTGCATAGATCACAGTTTGGGAACCTTTCAGCTATCTTAATGTGTTTTAATTTTGGTAATCAGCTTATAAATACTTGCTCTCTTTCCCTCCAATTTTAATTGATTAATTTCTTTTACTTGTAACTTTGAATAACTTGATAACAGAATCTGTGTTCTCACTTCTCCAGCTGTTGTGATTATGACACCAAAATGAATGATTGTAAACGATAACTGGAGGAGACAGAGTGTGCACATTATGGACTCACTATGTGATATTAAAATTATGTAGCAGCAGGGGCATCATTAAAAATTCAAGGCAAATGTATGATGGATTTAAGGGATAACTAATTAGGCAGAAATGGAAAAGAGCAGTACTTAATGCATCATATACTAAGATGTGATTCAAGCAGATGTAAACTAACTGGTTGAGCTCTCCCTGTATGTAATATTTTGATTTTCTGATTGATTGATTGATTGATTGACTGATTAATTGATGGGTTGATTGATTGATTTATTGATTGATCGATCAAAAGATTGTATGCAAAGTTATTATCCCATATCGACCTAGAGAGACTGAGTGTAGTTGATAGTCAATGCTCATATCACAGCAGTTAATCAAAAAGAAAAAGTACTTAGAGGACTATTAGTTATGACAGCCTAAACAGTAAGAAAGTAAATCAATTTTGGGCAAAGATTCAAGCTGGGCACCTTCCTGAAAACTCACTAAGAGAGAAGTATCTTTGGAAAGCATGCAGTTTTCTTTTAAAATTACTTTTGTTGCCATGACTATGATATAACTTATAATTTTTGTTTTGGTTGTAACTGATGAACCATTGTATCTAATCACCTAATTACATGATATTTCTTAAAGTGACAATTTTTAAATAAGTATGAAACTATTTTATGTGTAGAACAGCAACAGCATAGGCATGATATGAATGCTTCAGATTATGTTTTGTAATGAGTACCTACTGAAAGCATATGTCAGCAAATTTTATACAATAATAGATGCCACAGATCTTGCTTCTACTGCCCACACCTTTTTATGTACCTAATGAAAGAAACTAATTCATAATGTGGGTTATGTGTGCTTGTCCACATGTCTCATTTCTGAAATTACTGGATCCAGTTTTATTAAAGTTGAGCTTGGGGATAGAGGGATTCACTCTGATGGTCAAAATTTGCTTTGGTTTGGCATTTGTCCAATTTAGCCCTTGTTTATCATGGAGCTTAAATTGATCCTTATAAGGCCTCTGAGAAAACAGCTTCTCATACTGAAAATTGTTACATAATATGAAATATAAATCTCATGAAGATCTGCAAAGTTTATTTGAAACATTTGATAGTATGATGTATATTTAACAAAACATAAGAACAAATTATTTCCAAATGTAAGTACTGTGGTTAGATTTTCAATACTGACTTTGAATCTCCAACAGTAGATTTGTCTCTAATAATTTTGGATTGTGTCTATTTAGCTAGAAGCTTATAATGGAAAGAGGGCATAGTTCATCTAAAAATGTCTTTATAAGTAGCAAAATTTTTAAGTGGTTCATTATTGAAATGTAGTGTGTTAGTGTGTTTCTTTCATATTCATCCTTTTTTGTATATGAAATTCTCCAGTCAGGGTTAATTGAACATTCAGGTTCCATAAAACATGTATAATTTCTTAGATAGCTGAGATACTGTTGGCTGCGCAGGAAAGATTATACTCCATGAAATTAGTTGATTATTGAAGCCTAATTTAGTATTACGTGTTGTATGAAGGAAAGAAATGTGGAATGCGTGTAGAAGGTTAAAAGTTGGTAGCGGACCACATAGTTTGTTTAGATCTGCTTTGATCTGTTGTGAATAAAGCTGTTGTATCGCCACCTTAAAAAAATTTGGAAATTACATGAAACATATGGCATAGTATTTATTTTTTCTAGAAGTGTTCTAATAAGAATGTAACACTGCCAGTCTCAAAGTGATGCCCTTGTTTAGAATGTTACAGGTCTCTATCAGGTCTTCTATGCTGTGATTGAAAACACATTTGTTGTGAAACAAGAATTGATAGAATGTTATAATGGACTTCCTGAATTTGGTCTTCTAATTGCAGTTTTGAGTTTGCGGAAGAAATGCAGTTGAAGAGATTTCATTCTGTAATGTAGTGGAAACTGCTCCTTTTAAACTTAACCAATTGTTATGTTGTGATACTATCAATATACTTTTTGTTGTTGACACTTTTGACAAGATCTTCCTGTCATGTTGTCTGTACTCTTTTTTCATCCCTACAAAAGATTGTTAAATGTCTTATTTCATTGTATAATGCAGCCATCTTCTACCACATTTAAAGGCAGGTTCACAAGGAAACACTTGTCAGTGATATACAGGAGAGACAGTTACACTTTGTAATCTTATTGCTGAAGATAATAATATTGTATGTGTAACTCCACCTGTTTACCCAGGAGTGCAGTAACTGTTGTGATAATGTTTGTAGTGAATACAGCTCAGCAATATGCATACTACAGATTCTGAGACATGGAAATCTTGGAATTCTTGTGTGTGTGTTTCCATAATCTGGTAACAATGCCTCATTTATTGACTGGTATATCAGAAAAATGTCATTGCCAAATACACTGTTGAAGCGAGGTATAACTTTTCATCTTGCTCACCAGTCTTTGCTGACATGTCTCCGTCTTACTGTACTTTAATTCGTGATTGTTTTAGTGTAGGTCCCAGAGAAATAGTCGATAAAAATCTTTTGTAGGTGCAGATACTTTCTTCTCTTGTAATTCTGAACTCTCTTCAATTGACAGAAGCTTCTTATTGTTCCCATGAATTTCTATCTGTTTATTGCACCCCTGGCATTTGAAACTGCTCAGTTTGATTCAGATTTCAATAAAAAGATGGTCAAAACTCATTTTGTTTCTGATGCTGCTAGTAAAATTAGTTGTCTCTGAATTTTTGTGTGCCTCATTTTATGGATCAGGACACCTGTGACATATTCTCTGAATCCTTATGCAATTCACCATGTCTCAGAGGCAAAAACTTTGGTGTTTCTAGATCTGTAATTGGAGAATAGTGAAGAATATAATACAGTGGACCCTCAATAATATCATTATGCCATTCAAATTGTCAATACTTTAGGTGGTACCAGATTCCCCTTTCAGAGTAAACTTACATCTTTTCTGTTTATAATGAAGAGCTCATAATTGAGAACATTTTAGAGCTCATAATTTAGTTTGATGGTGAATTTGTTGTGATCGCCATAGTTCCCTAATATGTTCTGTATGCTTCATTCGACAATGTTAATGTGGTAAATTTTCAGTAAGTATATTGTTATATTTCACATAATGTCATATCCTATGTATGTATTAGAGCTTTTTCATTAGTAGAACTGCGTCATTTCTAAAAGCTGTAGTGGTTTCCGCATGTATTGACATGCCTTCTGGAGATGGTCGCTCCGACCGAAACATGTAAAGGATTAATTATTAAAGAAAGAAAAAACATTTATCAGCCACACTGGATGGCGTTGATGATCTTTTATACTATTGCTATTGTGATGGACCAGGATGAACCAAGTCAAATATACTCTAGCAAATTCAATGAAATGAGCTGAACTGATGGAGAACTGTGTAATTTCCATCAAGGTACTGAATTTGAAGCGTATGAAGAAAGAAAGGGCTTGAATGAATATTTAATGTGATCTCTGACTTGAATTTATGCTTCCTGAATGAGAAATGAGAGTAGGAGGTAGTATGGAATTAGCACAGGTACCTATGATAGGAATGGGAACTCTTGTTGGTTATGATCATGTGGTTATTATGTAAATAACTTTTAACCCTGTTACTGTGAGAACTATTTCCATATTTTTTATACATTTCAAATATTGTTCTTGTGTATATAAAATAATAGACTACATTTCTTCTGCCATTTCAGGACTGATGTAAGTATATTAAAAATGTACTTTTGAAGTCCCTCCTCTAGAATATGCAAAGTGAAATCTTTGAGGTGGGACTTTTATTATTATTGTTATAGAGATTTGTCTTGGACTGTATACAGAATACTAATAGTGATAATATTTCTGAGAAAAATGTAAATAAAATTATTAAGAGTAACTTATTTTTCTCATTTTATTTTATCTCTGTGGTACATGTCTCCATTATATGTAACATAATTTCATCACCCAGTCTCTCTCTTTCACAGATATGAACAGATTAAATATTATTCTTTACGTAAGAATAGAAGTAATTTAAAAATTAGTGAAAGTATTGTGATGTCACTCGCGAGATCACCACGCACCATGCCCCTGCACCCACAGTCAGATGGCATGGTGGAGCGCTACATTAAAACCATTGAGGAGCACTTGCGGAAGGTCATGGCATCCCACCAGAGGGACTGGGATGAGAGGTTACCCCTCTTCCTCCTAGCTTACAGGGCTAGGAGCTTGGGCTTGACTCCTGCTAGCCTAGAGTTCGGACGAGAACTCCGACTTCCCTGCGACCTGCTTTTTGGGGTACCCCCAGACAAGGAACTACCCACAACCGATTATGCAGCAGACTTGGTGGATCACCTACACGACATCCACAACTGTGCCCGACAACACCTGAAACTCACCAGTGACCGGGTGAAAACTTGGTACGATAAACTGGTCAACTCCGCAGGTTACAATGAGGGCAACAGAGTTTGGCTTTATCACCCAGCCTGCAGGAAATGGAAATCACCTAAACTTCAACCCTCGTGGGAAGGTCCTTACAAAGTAGTAACCCGGATAAATGACATGGTATACAGAATCCAGAAGAACCCTAAGTCGAGAAGGTTGGTAGTACACCTGGAACGGCTCTTGCCTTATCATGGGGCTGCTCGAGATGAGCAACCATAAGAAGGGAGCAGAGGACGTAATGGCAGGAGAATAGTTGCTGCAGAGGAGTAGCTGAAACAACAGGAGACACAGCAACAGGAAGAAAAGGGAACGGGGATGTACCGTTAGGCTGTTCAGAACAAACAACCTTTAGAAGGGAGCAGTGTGATGTGGATGGCGTAGTGGGAGGTGGGGGTCACGTGAACTCTGTGATCTCGCGAGTGACATCACATACCCCCACTCCATCCATCAATGTGCGATGCTCAGTAGACACCCCTTTCCCTGCGGTGATGTAACACAGGACGCCACAGTTACTACATAGTCATAAACAACTCTCGGCAGCGCTTCCCAGCAACGCCTTTGTAAACACGGCGGGGAGTCTGTGCAATGACTGTTCCTAGGCAGTCGGTAAACATGACGTTAGGCAACAGCGGTGCCTATTACATAACTGTTTTCTGTGTTGTCTGTAACGGGGCTAAATAAGGAGCAGCAAACACTATTTAAGAGTGAGTTACGAGTTAGCCAGGGAGTGAGTAGTCAGTATTCAGTAGTTAGTGTGTGATCAGGAGTGACACAGTGCGGATCGTGAACACGGAAAGAAGAATGCTGGAATGTGTGATGATCAGTGGTAGTTTGTGATAGCTGAGAAGTAATTGGGAGTGTGTAATACAGTGACACTTGTATAGCCCCTGTATCATACTGCGAAGACCTGTAGACTACTGAAGATAGAGTGAATAGAATATTGTGTAGGGTTGTAAATTGTGTAAACCCGTAACAGTGTTATAATCAATTGTAGTTACAACTTGTAGGTTGTTAAATAAACCAATTAACAATCTGAACGGCGTCTTCAGTAGAAGAAACATGTTACAATATATTAAAAATGCACTTTTGAAGCCATCCTCAACTCCTCTATAGTATGCAACTGAATGCCACAACCAAGTGGGCTAGCACTCCTTTGTAATTTGAAGTCTGAAATTCAAATCTTGACCTAGACACCCATCTTGATTGAACTTTTTGCTGTTTTTCTCAGAACCTCCAGACATTCCAGGATGGTACCTCAAACTGGGCTGTGACCACTGCTTTACACATCCTTTCAAATTCATCATTCATTAATGAGGGATGTAAGATCACAAAAATTAATGTGAGACCATATAGTCTGGGATACTGACAGCAGTGTTAAACTATAAATAAATAGAATTCCCGAAGAGAAATCCTTGAGATGAGATTTCTTTCATCATTGTTACAAATATTTTGCCTTTGACTATATAAGAAATACTAACAATGACGTTTTTGAGAAAAATACAAATATTGAGATTATTATTAGTGGTCTATTTGCTTCATTTGTCTTCTTTTTATTATTTTGTAGGGATATTGCACTCTGTCTCAATAATGTCAGAGGGATATTCTGGTATATTATCTATCTAGATGATTTTTTAACTTTTTCAAAGTTGGTACAATCCATGACAAAATTTAACTTTACTAAACACAACAGTAAAAGTATTCATTGAGGAACATTGAGTAGCAAGGATTAGACAGACATGACTTTCAGTCTAAGGCACTATCTACAGAAACTATCCAGTCCAAAAAATATATCACCTTTGTGCATTTCAAGAAATGAAATGAAATCACCCCTCTCTCAAAATCTCCAGCCTTTCCAGACACACTATAATAATCTTCATTTGCCACTATCAAACAGTTTGAGGTAAGTAAATTTCTGTAACTTGTAATTACATTAAAATTATGTCAAAGCATATTTCTATGCATGTGCATTATTGAGGACCTTGGGTTATTACTAGGTAATAAATATATTCCAATTTCAGTATACAACAGTCAGCTTACAGTGTATATCCAAGGGTCCTGAATATTTCTATATTTCAGATATGTTCCCATTTAACAAATGTATATACTTAAAAAAATACTGCACACATCATATCCCACACATTAGGCACTGATATTCTGAATCAGTTGTCAGAAATGAATCAGCATATAGTCTGTGTTGTTACTGAGTAGTTCAAATTTTCGTGTTTCTTCACTTTTGTCTTTCTCACGTTTAGATAGCCTAATCCATAAAATTCTGGATGTTATTTTATCAGTGCTCTCACTTCATAATTTTCCAAACAGGAAAGTTCCTACTCAGATATATTCCAGGAATAAGATAAGATTGTGTGAACAGAAAATAAGAGTTACGTAATAATTTTCTGTCAAATTGTGGGTTTTCACTCCTGTTTCTGTGCTTAACATTTATTTCTATAAAATTTAATTTTAAAGGCGTACTCATTCTGTATTCTCAATATGTACAGGAGATGTTTTATCATGAAGTCAGGTTTCCATTTAAGTCAAAATTTGTATTAAAGTTTTACTGTATTAGATTTTATCTGCTTAGTGACTGTACTGGAGATGTCAATTATCAAGAATATTTTGACAAAAAAGATAGGTGTGCTGCCTTGATGATGTTACCATAAAGCATGCCTTTATCACTTCAGCTCCACTTACATTCAGTCTGCACTCTGTAGTAACCATAACATTCACTAATATCTCTATAATCCATACAGCTGTATGCAGCATATAAAACAAATTATCTTAATCAAAATTCTTAATAAATCAAACCTTTCCACTTTCATCCATACATCCGCTTGATGAGTAATGGTGAATACTGGGCCATGTTAGAACCTAGCAGAGCTGGTGCCTGGTTTTCGAATAATGATCATTATATCTGTGAGATCCTGATGGATTGAATTCATATAATCTAAACTTAAGACATCTTAAATTATTTTAACTGATGATAAGTTTAGAATGTTTTAAACATATTTATGATATCACATGAGCTTTATAGTACAGAATGTTTCGCAATCACTAATGAAGTGCAGCAAAAATATTGCTTCACACACATGGAAAGAGAACACAATACAAATACCAAAAATGTATAACCCAAATTCTTTAATAATAGGTAACATAAGTGGAAAGATGCTTGCCATCTGCTTGTCAGTATTTGCTTTCGCAACTTACTTTTTCACCCTGATGATAGAGGTGGTATGTTCCTCCAAAATCTTGGGCTTTATACAAACTACATGGCATTATAACCCAAAAGACAATATTCTTCAACATGAAACACAACCATGCGGGAATGTAGGGGTTATTTCCATTCTGAGATGGTTTTCAGGATTTCAAAAACGAGGTAGCAATAGGTGGTGAGTAGTCAGCCTTACATCCTGATTACACACTCATGGGGAAAGATTCTCTGGTACTCATGAGATAGGAGGTTGGATAGGCATCAGATGCTGAGAGGAGAAAAATCCCTTGCCACCTGCCAAGAACTGAACACTAAGTCCTCTGCCATCCATCCCATAATCCAGTGACATGATTTGTAATGGATTTTACAGTGCGTCTAAATATGATGTAATATTTTGTGGGTTATTTGATGTCAATGTCTGGACTATGCAGCATCAAATGGTAAGGTGACTGATGAATTGGAAAGGATTTGTAAGGGAACAATGAACAATAAATGAGAACTGATTTGGAAGGAAGCGGTCGTGGCCTAATCCAAGTTACTGTCCCAGCATGATTGAGAAAACCTCAGACAAGATAACTAACATTCTGGCCGAAATTTGAATCGAGCATGAGTCCAGTGTGTTACCACTGTGCCACTCTGCAGTATAGTTGAATATAATTATGTATGATCAGCTTTTTGTCACTTGTGCTCTTAATGCTCACAGTGAGTGTACAACACTAGATATCACAAGATTCTCATGCATGTCAAGATACTGTAGGAATAAACCTGAGACAAAGCAAAAGAGCTACACTGGAAGAAGAGACAGAAATGTACTCAGAGTGGCAATGTTGCAGTTGGTACCCTATAGAAGAAAACAGAAAATTAAAATAGCATGGGTCTCACAGACTCAGCTCTTGCTCTGAGGGTTAAGTCTCCTGGGACTTTTTTTGCTTGTAATGGAATACAGGTTACTTGGCCTAAGCATGAAATTTAGAAGGATGTGTGGGCTGAGATGCATGCTTGATTTTTATTTTATCACAATTAATTCAAACAGAATAAATATTGTAGCATGTAGACCCATTACTAGGCAACAACCATGAAAGAAACATGTTCCCACAGCAATGAGTCCACGCACAACAATGGAGAACTGCTGGAAACGGTGTTCTCCACATGGTCCGTGACAAGGGGTCATTATGAGGACACCAGCCAGTCTGTGAGATGAACAGGACAGTAACTTTCATATAAAGAAAAAAAAAAAAAATCTGGTCATGAGCCCCAGTTGGGGCTCGACACGAAGACAGGCAGACTGACCGACCGTCAGTCACAATGTGACTTTGACTTTGACTTTGACTAAGCAGAGCAGAGTACCCCGTGTGGAGGCTGGGTCGAATATCTCCACCGTGACCCTGTGAGTCGTAGGAGGCAACGAAAAGGGAAGTCTCAAATCTGAGACAGTAAAATATGGTCGCAAGTCCCAATGGACTTGGACTCAAGAAAGACTATACTGGCAAGGCCCAGCAGCATATAGAAAAGACAGACCCATCCTTTCGTCAGAGAGGGCGCACCACAGAAGGAAGACCGTAACTGTCAAACGATAATAACTAATATCTGGTCATGAGCCCCAGATGGGGCTCGACACCAAGACTCACTGACTGACTGACCGTCAGTCGCAATGTGACTTTGACTTTGACAGTCTGTGAGTCATATGAGGTGACAAAAAGGGAAGTCTCAAATCTTAAACAATAAAATATGGTTGCAAATGCCAAGGGAGTCAGACCGAAAGAAAGGCTGCACTGGCAATGGCCAGCAGCATGTACAAAAGACAGACCAGTACTCTTATCAGAGAGGATGCCCCACAAACACAAGACTGTAACTGTCAAAGAGTGATAAATAGCTGGACACGAAGACTTACCAACTGACCGTCAGTCACAATGTGACTTTGATTTCAGGCGCAGTCAGTTGTAAGGGAGTCTGTGAAGTGAAGACTAGGAGGCCAGCAGCCCTGCAGTTAGTGAGTCTGTGAGGAGAAGACACAGAAGACTATGTGTGCTGCAGTTACAGTGACTTTCAGAGTGTGTAAGCCAGTGAAGCTGTTATAGCTACATGTAGTCATGAATCATGTGTTAAAGTGGTCCAACAAATCCAATCATCAATCCAAAAGCCATCTATAGTCACAATTGTATGCATGCCAGTATGCTCAAATTACTTCTACATAAGGAAATTGTTGAATTATTAACACTTATCACCAGGGACTTAATGTCATTTGTGGGAAAAACTTTGATAGGACATTATAAAATTCTTGCAGAACTAAATATGTTTAGTTATGACAGCTATAAAAGGTAAAGTTGTCTGTGTGCTTAATTAATTAAGCACTGTGTCAGGAAGAAAAAGGGGGTAGTGGATGTATAGACCCACATTTTCTTGGCCTTGGAATTAGCTGGAGGTGAGGGGTCAGCTTCATGCCCTGGCTGCTTTGTTCCCAGGTGCAGAGCCTGCAGTACCCATTGAATAGAAGGCTAGGTGGGCCCCAGAGCCAGTCTGGGCAACAAGGATAAGTGAAAATTCTTGCCCCCACAAGGACTCAAACTCTGAACCCTTGGTTGTCCAACCCGTATCCAGTCGCTATAGAGACTGCACTATCCCAGCTCTTTAGTTCTGGCAGGAAGATGTGACATTTGTCTTTCACTTATAACTGTGCATTTAATAGCTAAAATGATTTCTGTATTTATAGAACAAGACACGTGTTTCATGACACCTGTAGCAGGCTATGTTACATAATATTTACAGATATATTTTATTTAAGAAATCCATTTTTCCCTTCATGCAGTGTTACAGAAGCCTCCCATAAAGCAACAAAGAGTCAAATTACAGGAAAGTATTTATCACCATCAAGAATTTGTGTAGTAAGAAAGCTGGAATGGGGTTCTGAATATGCTTCATCACCAAGGAAGAGTTCCCACTGTTCTTCCTGTAGAGTAAGTGAGGAAGCTAAAGATGATGGAGATAGTTTGTTGTTACTTGATACACAGAAAATAACAGCTCTCTCATCACAGGGACTGAATTCCAGACAACACTGGATAAAATTGGGCAAAGGGAGCTTTGGAACTGTTATCCAGGCGAAACATGAAGGTTGGTTAAGCAGTCATTTCAGGTAAAAAGCGATTTTGTTGATGACTCATGAGCTTTCATTAAAAAAAAACTGAACTTTACTTTTTAATGTAAATAAGTTGTGTGTTATATTCATATTTTAGAATAATGAATGGCTTTCTCTGGAGTTAGATATAACAAATATCATTCATATATTAATATTTCTAATTTCCCACTAATTTCAATGGACATTTCTCTAGTTAAATCAGGCTAGTCAAATTATAAGATATTTTCTCCTATTTAAAATAATTTCCTTGACAAAAATTTGTAAGATATTTTTATCTTAAGGACCATAAGTGAGGGAGATGGAGCAGATAAACAAGCAGATCTACACTTCAGAGTTGAAAATGCGCCTTACACATAAACGGTAGATCTAAAGTGCATTGTCAATTATTAATCCAAGTTCCATGAAAGAGTTTCAGATGAATTTAGTATTCAGTGCATGTGTGTGCATGCGCACACACACACACACACACACACACACACACACACACATGAGCGTGCATACGCTCTCTCTCTCTCTCTGTTTTGGAATAATTCAGCCAGCAAACCAGCTGGTTATATGTATAATGGATGCCTAGGGTGTGATTCCTGTCAGGGGGCAAGATTTCTCTTTTTGCTTGCATCAAGACTGGCTCTAAAGTTCATCCAGTTTCCTCTCCAATTGACACTTTAGGGTTCTGTCCTTGTATGTAAAACAGATGCAAGTATGAAGGTCAGCCTGTATATATGTGCCTTTACTGCATTGTTCTTAGGCATTATATACATTCACTTACATACACATATATACATATTTCCTATAAACAGTGTGACATATGCCATTCTAGCAGATCTTAAAGGTTCTTCTCCTACTGTCTTCATCATCACATGGTTTCATTTCAGTCTCTTAGTTAGTTAATTATTGGAGAGGGTGGGTTTCCCCATGCACTGAGACCTGTATTGGTCCATTGTGCTTCCCTCTATGATTTCTACCAGTCTCTATATCCTACCAGTACTGGTGCTTACCATCAGTCTCGCCCAGCCAGCAAGACCGGCTCTACTAGCTGAGAGGTATCTATAATGCTTCCCCCCTCTACCAGAGGTTGTTGGGCGGGAAACATCCGTTAATTTGTCTCAGTGACCTCCTTTGGAGATATGAGGTTCTTTTACGTGCCGTAAAGCTACAACACGGGACCCACGGCTTAAAGTCCCTCCCGGAGTACTTGTTCCCTGAATTTTTCCACCCTTAAAAATTCGACGACCTCCGCCAGGTATTTGAACCTGCGTACTACGAGTCATGAGGTGGGAACGTTACCTCTAGACTACGGAGGCCGCTATTTCAGTCTCTTAGTTTATTTGATTTCTCCACTACTAATTCATTAGCATTTATTCTATGGTTTTTCAGTGTTTTTTCACATGGTCAGCTATTAACACTTCTGTACACTGTATTAAGTTAATACAAGGTTAACATGTATTTAATGCCTGAAAGCTTTTAAATTTCAGTTTTTATATACTCACACGCACACACACACACACACACACACACACACACACACACGCACGTAACATCAGTTTCCTTTACCATCCAGGTGAAGATATAGCTGTGAAAATAATTCCAAAAACGAGGTTTCGTAAGTCTCTAGGATCACTGAAGAATGAATATAATGCTTTAAAACTGTCCCACAAGAATGTGGTGAGGGTACTACAGGTGACAGTCTCTGAGGGAGAATATGGTCTCGTTATCATGGAGCTTTGCACTGGCCTCAACCTGCTGTCTCTGATCTTTGACCCAACAGTTATCATTAACAGTGTGCGCAGAACAAGGTATGCACCATACAAGTGTTCTTAGTGTGTAGCATATCTCATTATCTCATAACATTCAGAATATTTGAAAATTCTTCCTCTTCAGTCTCAGTATATTTACTCTTTATTATGCTTTGTGGTTGATAATATAAATTTATACCAGTTTACAACTGATATACATAGTAGAAATACAAGACATTGTTTTAATCTTAATTTTTATCAACCTATAGTTCATCTATCACTATACCTGAAGGGATCATACTGTATGGGTATCAGATTGTTTAATAGCTTACCCTTATATCTAAAGCAGTTGTTCACTAATTGTAAAGATTTTAAAATTGCTTTGAAGGATTTCTTGATTTCTCATTCATTTTATACTTTGGATGAATATTTTGAATGTTGCAGATCGAAGGATAGCATTTCCTTGTAGTAATTTATGTGGATGAGTACATATATGTCTGTGGTTTGTTGATTGTTACCTAAATTTGTGGTATTTTAAAAGTTATGATTGATATTATGTCAGTCTATTATAAATTTTGTATTTTAATGATGGTATTATTGCATGTGGCATAATCCTGTCTTGCTTGTTTTGTTTTGTATCTTGTAACACACATGTATGTATATGTATTTGACTTGTTTTATTATCCCTTGGCTTGTTAAAGCCAAGTGGGATTAATAACGTGAGTAAGTTATTCTTAATGTATGTTTATTTTTATTAGATTCTTTTACCTTACATTATTATTTATGTTTATTGATTGATGTATATGATTTTGATCTTGTATATGCATATTGATATCTGTATTCAAAGGACAATTTCCACATCCTGGTTTTTTAACTTGTAGGGATATATATGGAAAATAAATGGACAATGGACAATTAAGCAAGCCTGATTAAACAGTAATTTTTTTACTTGTAGTTAGAAGGTACTGAGTACAAATCTCACACTATGCACCACTTAAAAATGCTAATAACATAATAATTTTTTAAGTTATTTACTAACCAACAAACCACTGAATCAGTCAGCCAGAAAACCTTACAGTGTCCCATAGTTAGTTATATTAAATATTTTCCTTGATCCTTACAGGCATGCACACATGTGTGCTCTCTTCAAATCTTACCCAGTGATACTTAAAACTGTAAGCCTGTAATTTCCTCTTGTAGTAGTTGATGAATATTGAAAGTTATACAAAGGCTGAAAATATTTCTATACATATTTTTACATTCTGAAACCAGTAACTAAGGATGATTTATAAGAGAACAAGTGAGAGACCAGCTAAATTCATTTAAAGTGTTAGAATGCCTCTGTTCTGAAGTTACAGTTTGTCCTGCAGGTATGCCCTTGATATTGTACTTGCTCTTCATCACTGCCACAGCAACAGGATACTTCACCTGGATGTGAAACCTAGCAACATCATGGTTTGCTCACAAGGAGATTACTGCAAACTGTGTGACTTTGGAAGTTCTCATGACATGCGGGAGGAAGAGTACTGTACTGTGTCACCAAATATTGTAAGTTTCTGATGCTTACCTTTTCTTAAAAGAATTCTAAATGATTCTCTCCATACCAGTATAGGCGTAAGAAAGAAAAAATGAGATTAAAATATGACTGTGTGACTGTACTAATGGAACAAATATAAATATGAACTTTAAAATGTGGCATTGTTATCTCATATAAGCTTTAATTTTCTTTCAGAATACTGTAGTGTATACAGACCCACAAATCCTCCAAGGTAAACTGCCGTCTGAAAAGTCTGATGTTTATTCCCTTGGAATTACATGTTGGCAGCTATTGTCTCGTGAAGTTCCATATGAAGGATATACTTTACACACAATAATATATAAGGTTCGTGTTTCGCTTCTCCATGCAAATTTAATTATGCATTTTGCACTACATTTAGTAATTGAAGGAAGGGGAAGATATCAAAGGAATTTTTCATATAATCTATAGAAATAAAAATGTAAACGTTCGTTTGTCTCTGGTCAAAAATCTCCGAAAGTTCTTCACCGATTGCTTCGAAATTTTGACAGAACGTTGCATTCGAATACGTGCGTTTTTATATACCTATTATGTAGATGTCACGCCTGTGATAGGTAAAAACATGTCACATGTTCGGAATCCAGGAGTCGTTTCCATAGTAACGCTAGAACAGACCGTTGCATAGGTTCTGTTGCGTAACAGCAGATGAAACCGGAAAGTATACTTCCATGGAAATGCAATAACAGTGGGCCATTGCATAGGAATTGAGGTTCCGTTGCGTAAAGACGGATAAAACGAAACAATTCTACAAGGTGTTCTCTGCTAGCATTTCCTAAGCAACAGATGAAACTAACTCTTCGATTAGGTATTCCCTATCCCGTCCGACCACTGGCTATATGTATAAGAGAGTGTAGCTCCGGCGACTGTTCAGTATCACGAGTGACTCGAGTATCACGAGTCTGGAATAACCGCCGAGGAAATGAGCCTGGAGTATAGTTTATTTTTCATTGTTTTAATTTCGTTTTCTTCAGTGCTTCATCAGTGCAATCGATCTGCTTTAGTTCATCCAAATAATGCCTCACAGAAGATCAAACTTAGGTTGTCGTACTTGCGGAGCGGAAGCAATGCGTCGAGTAATTTCAAATCAAACTGGGGAAGAACGGGCAGACTGAGCCACAGCAAGGCGTGGCCGGGCACAGCTAGTGTAAAATAATACTCTTAGAATTACATGATTAGATGTAATCCTTTGTATGCTACTTTGGTACACTAAATGGAAACTTGGCATAGTGAACAGCTACAAATCCAATGAAATGTTAAAAGATGGCAGTACAGGTTCATTGACATTGCCAGGAGAGAATATTTCAGTGTTTCCAAACAAGGTAACTAATTTTTAGAATGGAAAAAGTTAAAAATTTAATTTATTTTCAATGCTGTAGTAGTTAAATACCCATGTTAAGTGGGTTCCTTGTCACCACACCCTGGCACGTCCTCAGATTGTGGATGGAGACGGCCTCGAAATATGGAGGGTAACTGTGAATATATTGAATAAGTAGTTGCGGTCAGTAGACAAGGGGTGGCCCTCCAGCTTCAAGGATGGGCGTGGGGATAACAACTTCTCAACACAAAGAGTAAGTTTGTTATGAAATGTCACAAGGGGTCTCAGACTTTGACAGATTCTTTGGCTGAACAACCTAAGCTAAGGAAAATGGATTGTTTGAGAAGATGGTGTTGAGGAGAATATTTGGACCAAAGAGGGATGAAGTAATAAGAGGTTGGAGAAAACTGCATAGTGAGGAGCTTCATGACTTGTATTCTTCCCCAAATATGATTAGAATGATCAAGTCAAGGAGGATGAGATGGGCATGTAGTATGAATGGAGGATAAGAGGAATGCATGTAGGAGTTTGGTTGGAAACAGACCACAAGGAAGATCTAGACACAGGTGGACAGGGAATATTAAAATGGATCCTAGAGAGATATGATGGGGTGGTATGAACTTGACTGATTTGGCTAAGGATAGCGATCAGGGGAGGGTTCTTGTGAATATGGCAATGAACCTTTTGGTTCCATAAAATGTTGGGAAATTGTTCAGTAACTGCAAAACTGGAGTATACTCAAGAAGGGTTCGGCTACATGGTGCTACTTAGTTTAGTAATTAAAATATAAGAATGCTTTATTTTATAGTACAGGGTGATTCATATAGAACCGGCCCAACGAAATGAGCTGTAATATAAAATATACCATACAGATATTAAAGTAATTTACACATATCTTATCTTGGATTGTGTGCCGTAATCAGAGCAGGTGTTAAAGTGTCCGCCGTTTTCAAGTAGGCACTAGAAACACTCGCTGTTCAACAGTGTACTCCATGACTGTCGCCTGCGCACTGCAGACATGTTTCGGGATTGTCCTTGACCTTGCAGCATAAGGGCCGCCACTTGCCGGATCATGCGCACACTATTCGACTCAGCACGGCCCACGGATTATTATGTCGTAAATGTGAGCGATTATATGCATCACCTGCGGAATTATTAGCAAATTCATTGGGCCGGTTCTATATGATTCACCCTGTACTATTTTCTGTACAAACATTGAATGGTGCCATCGAACAGGCTGGTTTAGAATTAACACACTAGGCTTGTATTCAGTAGGTGGTTCGACTGAATCTCGGCCAATCCACTGCCAATCCTGTCTGAGGTATTTCATACTTTTCTTCAGTCACTCTAGACAAACACAGGAATAATAGCTTTATTATCCCACAACCACTACTTTCTAGGTCCTTTCTAATTCATCAGTCATTGTACCATCTGATACTACAGTACTGACATTCAAAGCACTGTTAAATGTACTGCTGCCAAAAGATATGTCATTAGGCAAACAGAAGGGCTGCTAAAAGACACTGTTATTACTGCAGACAAATCTGGAAGTACTAGAGTAAGGTCAGAAATGTATCAAGCATGTCTCATTTCATAGGCAGCAAAAAATTTTGTTTCATATAATAAGAATAAAATAAACTTTTTGGTAATACAACATTGTTTCATTTTCTGAAAGGTATTTAATTTAAAGTCTAATTTAGCAGCCTCCATAGTCTAGGGGTAACGTTCCCACCTCATGACTCAAGGTACGCGGGTTCAAAAACCCGGCGGAGGTCGTGGAATTTTTAAGGGCGTAAAAATTCAGGGAACAAGTCCTCCGGGAGGGACTTTAAGCCGTGGGTCCCGTGTCATAGATTTACGGCACGTAAAAGAACTTCATGTCTCTAGGAGACCTCTGAGCAAAATTAGGCCAAGTTTCCTGCCCAACTAGTTTCCAATTCCTCCAGTAGATGGGGGAAGTATCAGGTACCACTGCCAGAGGGGGGACCTGTCTGACAGAAAGGGACTAAAGTATTAGATACCACTGCCAGTAAGAGGTTGGAACCTTGCTGGCAGAAAGGGGCTGATAGTAAGCACAAGTACCGGTAGGGTATGGAGACAGTAGAAATTAAAGGGGGACGCACAATGGATCAGTAACCGGTCTAAGTGCATGGGGAAACCCACCCCCTCAATACGGAATACGGAATAAAGTCTAATTTATTATAAAATGTTTAATTAAAGAAACATTAATTATAAAATTGCTTCAATTACTATAGCAAAAATTCCAAAAACATTTTAAAAGATATGAGTGTGTCTACTTACAAATTTAGTGCTCCCTTAATAGGGAACTGTAATAATTACTCATGCTAGGTAAAATGTCATTTATATTAAAGTTATATACTAACATAAGTTGAAATGTCAGATCTCTCTGTGACACAAATCTAATAATGTCATTAATCCCAAGAACTGACTGACTGTAGCTACCATACTTTTGTCACATGACTTATAGAGAGAGTTGCTCATCGGCATAATTATGAATCGGTGACACGTCATTGTGGTCTGCCCCTAAGTTACTGTTCAGCATTATTTGAACTGATTGACCGCCTCTGTGGTCTAGTGGTCAGAGTCCTGGCTACAGATCCAGATGTCCCGGGTTCAATTACCGGTGCTACCAGATTTTCTGAGAAGTATTGGGTCTGGAATGGGGTCCACTCAGCCTCATGAGGATAATTGAGCTATTTCAAGGGAATAGCGACTCCGGTCTATAAAACCGAAATTAACGGCCGTGGGGTTTCATTGCTCTGACCACACAACATCCACTAAAGTTGGCACTAACTTAGCCGAAAAGTGGTTGTCGCTGAGTCAGTATAGTTCACTTGCAAGCTCAAGCCATGGAGTTTTTTTTATATATATAAAAATAAGTGCCAACATAACTAGCCTTTGAATTCTATTGAGAAATTTTTAGTGTTGTTATGTTATCATAATGTCATGTATATGGAGTGACTATAGATGGGGTTTGGATTGGGGATTGGTGAATGGATTTATTGACCTCTCATAACCACGACTCATAACTACAAGCAATTACAGCACCACCACAAATCACCACAGCACCTGCTAAGCCTTTTCCAGCCTGCTGTGTCTTCACCAGCCATTCTCCGGCAACAGCTCCTAACAGTGGAGATTTTTCAGCTTCACACGCTCAAGTCCTTTCTTCACAGACTTCCATACAGAACTCACTATCCACTGATTTCGTCCCTTGTTTGTTACACCTCAGCAAAGACCACAGAGAAACACCCCGTTTCTGTAGTCCAACTGTTGCATTATTAGGAATCTGCTGCCTAGCAATGGGAATGCTCATCTGATGGTACATTAATACAAATATTGTTTCTGGACATTTTCCATTGTCCTATTTTTATTTAAAAACAAAACATTTCACAGAATGGACTCTGCTTCAGGTAAAACCTACTCAGTTGGGCCCAGATAGAGCTAGTCTTTATATTTAGCTCTATCAATTAGGCCCAACTGAGTAGGCTTTACCTGGAGACAGAGATAGAATCCACACTTTGAAATGTGTTTTTAAATAAATATAGGACAGTGTTTTAGATAAAAACAGTAGGATAGATAACGTCCAGGAACATATATTTGTATTGATGGGAACATGTTTACTGACCCATTGCACAGAAACAGTCACTGTTCACTGTCACTGCTTAGCAACGGATCTGTACACCACAAAACATTAATAATATTGTAAATTGTTAGTCCTTATTTTTACAGCATACAATGAAAGAATATTGTTTTGCAGGTTGGCTCTGGTGAGCTACGACCAAAGTCTATAGAAGATGCTAAAATAGGAGATAATGACTTCATCAGTCTGTACAACCTCTGCTGGCAACAAGATGCTATTAACAGACCATCTGTCTGCACTATTATCCATGAACTTAAGAAAATTATTGCTTCTCTCAGTGCACAGTAATGCTGAAGCATCTATGTCAAGAAATATCAAAAGTTATGTTGGTGATGCCATTTGTGTCCATGTTCTTATCAAAGCACACTTCTAGCATTATCAGCAATATAGTAATAATAATGTAGTGCTTTTCATATTTGTTTTATTACAAAAGGTGTTAATAAATTTTATAAGTCTTTTACATTTGTACAAAAGTCAATATGAAAGAAGTCTTCATGCATCGGGCATATCTCCTCCAGGTACAAGCTGAAAATAAACAAGAATGTCCATTTATTAGAAGAAGCATTAATATTGTTTGTAATCTGTTGAAAGAACTCTCACTTCTTTTAAGTACTCTCCAAGCAAAGAAAGCAGTGCAGCATCCTGTGCAATGGTTGCCCCATCCAAAATTATATCAGCACCACTCATTATGCATAGACTTCAATGCTCAGAACTCTTACTGAAAAATATGCCTAAAATGGTACTTAAGAGCTACTTCAGCTAAACAGGGTTGCCACTTTACTTGGAGGCTAAAATATATATTTTACCTTGTCAGTAAAAATGTTCAAATACAAACTATGGACTCTGATAAAATTAATAATTCATATTACATATATACAAAATTATTTCCCCTGGAAGGAGACATGCCTTCATGGTATAGCACTTAATTAGTTAAGAGCAGGGACTTTACCTTACACATATACACTAAGTAATTTATGAAAAACATAATGAAATATACAGGATAAAATAATTATGCAGCATTTAAATGAATTTATTGTTGTTTGGCTCCCTCCATATTTTAATGAAACACTGAATCAAAAAGTTAAAAGTTTTTCATAATGTTGTATTTTAGCGTCCTGTTGCACTGATTCTCGTCCATGATATGTATGTATTGGCCGTCTTGTAGTGCACTCAGTCTCACATGTCACTTCACTACATGTTTCGGCATCACTGTGCCATCCTCAGGTGTGTTATTTACGTAAAGCTATTGCATTGCATATCATGTGCCGTTGTAATCACAGCCAAAAAAGGACACATCACAAAACATAATACACACAAAATATAGGAAGAACAACTACCACAGTGGAAGAATGATGTAGTACGCGAGTTTGAGTTAAGACGTGTAAGATGATGGATATTAACAAATTTTGATATATATAAATTTTATTATAGTTAGTGATGAGTGTGCATTTTAGATAATTTTATAAACGACACATGATGGCAAGCAATGCAATAGCTTGACGTAAATAACACACCTGAGGATGGCACAGTGATGCCGAAACATGTAGTGAAGTGACATGTGAGATTGAGTGCACTACAAGACGGCCAATACATACATATCATGGACGATTAAAGTTATTCATTATTTATCCACTGTTATGTTGTATAGTATGACTGTATAATGGTATGGTATGTAACAATCAAGTTCCTTCCGTCAAATGTGACACTTTTTTAAGTTTTCCACCTCGTCACCACCTGCCTTACATGTTTCGGCTCACCACGGAGCCATCATCAGAGGCATTTATAGTAGAAAAAGAAATCACCAACACACAAAACTTCACTTTGTCCAAGATAGCCACGTTCCAGTTAATTAAAATAATTACAA